CCAGTCCTGAACGATTACAAGCATACCCGTAACATGATGCAGCCACCACTATGCTTGAAAATACGGAGAGTGGTACTCAGTAATGTTTTGTATTGGATTTGCCCCAAACATAACACTTTGTATTCAGGACAAAAAGTCAATTTCTTTGCCATTTTTTTTGTTGCAGTATTACTTGGTGCCTTGTTGGAAACAGGATGCATGTTTTGGAATATTTTGTATTTTTAGTGGTGTTTTTTTCACTCTGTCAATTAGGTTAGTATTGTGGAGAAACTACAATGTTATTGATCCATCCTCAGTTTTCTCCTATCACAGCCATTAAACTCTGTTTTAAAGACCATTGGCCTCATGGTGAAATCCCTGAGCGGTTTCCTTCCTCTCTGGCAACTGAGTTAGGAAGGACGCCTGTGTCTTTGTAGTGTGTTGATACAACATTCCAATGTGTAATAATTTCACCATGCTCAAAGGGATATTCAATGTCTTATTTTTTATTTATTTTTACCCATTTACCAATAGTTGCCCTGCTTTGCGAGGCATTGGAAAACCTCCCTGGTCTTTGTGGTTGAATCAGTGTTTGAAATTCACTGTTCGACTGAGGGACCTTACAATTATCTGTATGTGTGGGGTACAGAGATGAGGTAGTCATTCAAAAATCATGTTAAACACTATTGCACACAGTGAGTCCATGCAACTTATGTGACTTGTTAAGCACATTTTTACTCATTAACTTATTTAGGCTTGCCATAACAAAGGGGTTGAATACTTATCGCCACAAGACATTTCAGCTTTTAATTTTGTATTAATTTGTAAAAATGTCCAAAAACGTATTTCCACTTTGACATTATGGGGTATTGTGTGTAGGCCAGTGACCAAAAAATCTAAATTTAACCAATTGTAAATTCAGGCTGTAGCACCGCGTAATGTGGAAAAAGTAAAGGGGTGTGAATACTTTCTGAAGGCACTGTGTTTTCATAACCCTTTCATTGAGCACAGTAGGCTAGTGTTCCCGTTTTAATTATTATTGCCGTAGTAACTCATTACAATGATTCATATCCATGCCTTCTATGACAAATGTCTAGGGCCCTATAAAATCTATTTTTATCTTTTAGCCTCATTATGTTTTCCCCCCGTTTTCATGTTTTGTCTCTCAATCAATTTTTTTTTAATGTATGGAAAAACAACAAAATGGGATGTTCTAAGTCCAAAACAATGCATAAACCACATCAGGAGACAATTTGAGGTCTGGGAAAAATAGAATACATTTATTTTTTTGTGTAGTTAACCTTTAATGCAAGTGCGCACCAGCAAGATGTTGGTTAGCGATGTTTCTGTAGCACTAATGTGATTGCAGAGTTTGCAAAACAAATGGCTACCGGATTGATGCAATAATCATGATATCGTTCTGCCAGGTAGGCATAGGCTACTTTGTAGTTAACATTTAATTGAAGGTTTTTGGGAAATCCTTTCCATATCTACAAAGTGTAGAAATACACGCACACACAGACATGGGCATTCCTGTGCCATTGTAGGTAAATACGAATCACTGACGCATTTTGTTCTTTGTCTTATGATTAACTTCGGCAAATAAATGTTCTATTAAGTTTAATACATTTAGTTGATTTCCTACTAAGTAAAACACATTTTTGAATATTGCTGAATTCTGTTTTAATGTCTGAATTCCGTGATTCCGTACGCGTTCTCCCTAAATGTCTTCTGGCTGTTAATTTTTGGTAAGGCTTTCCATGACACCTGCAGGTGTAATGCTGCTTCTTTTTATATGTATGTATGATGAGCCTGTATGTTAATACATCACCAGTCATTCTTTACTGTAAAAAAAATAAAAATAAAAAATATGCCATTTAGCAGACGCTTTTATCCAAAGCGACTTACAGTCATGCGTGCATACATTTTTTTGTGTATGGGTGGTCCCGGGGATCGAACCCACTACCTTGGCATTACAAGCGCCGTGCTCTACCAGCTGAGCTACAGAGGACTGTACAGCACATAAAGGTTATGTTTTGGTGCTAGTGATGGTGCATGTTTTAGTCTACCTAAAACTGAACGAGTGATACATGGAATACCTTGTCATGTCATCGATCTGGAATGGTTAATACGTTGTTTTTAGGTACATTAGGGTTGCTGTACAGCACATGAAGGTTATATGTTTTGGTGGTAATATTTTATGTTAGTCTACGACTGTGATCCGCAGCCCCCCCCCATACAATAGATATGCTTACAGTACATAATGTTGGCTGTTTTGGTAGGGATTTCAGAGCCCGTATACATCTCTGGTGGTGGTGATATTTTATGTGTTGGTATACCTGTAATTTGCGTCCGAGTGACGAAATGAATACCTTTTAGTCTGCACTAAAGAGGGCTTTAGTCTCAATTATCATCAGCTCTCTCTAGTCAATAACTCTCCTTATTAGCAATTAGCAGAAATCGCTCTGAGCTGGGGGACGGGTTTATTTACCCAGTTCAACACACTGAGAATCAATGTCATTTATTAGGCTTAAAGTAAGAGGTATTACTATTCCTGAGAATTGATGGTTGGTTGACTCTAAACATTGATCTCTCTATGCTTTCCCACTGCTATTGTTTTCTGTGTGACTGTAGAGCTTGATAAGACAGCCTCAAGGATGTGTCTGTCTATTACCTACAGAGTATATAACGGATGGATGGATGGCGCTGGCTGCTTTTCTCTGTTCTTGTGGTGTTCCATCCTCCTACACACAGTCTGGGAGAGAGGGGGAGCGAGTCTCTCTCTCTGCAGCACTTGGGAGGGAATGGGCAGGGGGGAGGTACCGCCCAAGCCTGGTGTGGACCGCCCTGTCTGTGCGTGCAATCAGAATGGCCTCTTGTGCATTCCACAGGAGCAATTTCCTATTCGCTGTGCGAACATAATTGTCATCGAGTGGTCTATTTACAGCCAGCATATGATTAGTTAGCTCCCATTCCCCTGGCTGGCTGGCTGGCAGAGTAGCTGCCCTTTTGACCTCATTGTAGGTTTTTGAGAATACATTTCCATGGACAGAAAAGTTTAATGTGGAAAAAGGCTCAGCCACTTATTCACCACTTCTACACACACACACACACACACAGACACACACACTTGCTGGCAGTACTGATCTGGGTGTGTTTGTACCGTTGGGAATAGAGTTAAAGGGAGAGTGAAGAGGCTCTTTTAAGGTTCAACCACTCAGATCAACTCAGAGCCTCATATTTGGCTGTCAAATACAGATGAGATGCTGAGTAACAGGAGGAGACAGAAGGATTCTACTGGGCTGTAGTATGTGTGTTTTCTCGTGTACGTGTGGACTTCTGGTCTGTCTGTGCCTGCCAGTGTTTATTCATGCGTGTGTGTGTGTCACACTGTGTTCCATCTGCACCCATAAGGCCACCTGTCTCTGTCCCTGACACCCCATCCCCCGTGTGTCACACATACTGTCCCTGACACAGAACTGACACTGACACAGTGATCTCCTGAACTCGGAGGCCAGCTCAGCCCTGCTGTTCCTCCCTGTCCGTGCAGCACAGCTCTGACTCCTAATGCAGCTTGTGTCTGGGGCCAGAATCTCTCTTGCTGTCTGGTTGGTTGGCTGAGTTCTACTGGTGTTTGATCACCAGCTATTAGGGCTGACTGTAGTCATTTGAAGTTCCGTACCTCTCTTTGTGTTGCTGCTCACTGCCAGACTGGAGGCTACGGTTTGGTCTAGTAGTGTCTGCAGTTTACTGTCATACCAGGGATCTGCATGCACGGTGAGGCATGGCACGGTGAGGCATGGCACGGTGAGGCATGGCACGGTGAGGCATGGCACGGTGAGGCATGGCACGGTGAGGCATGGCACGGTGAGGCATGGCACGGTGAGGCATGCTGACTGTTGAGGCATGGCAGGTTATCATGGCACCGTGAGGCTTTGGACTAGAGCATGGCACGGTGTGCATCACGGGACAGGACTGTGTGGATCAGGACAGGACGTGTGGGATCAGGAGACAGGACTGTGTGGGATCAGGAGACAGGACTGTGTGGGATCAGGAGACAGGACTGTGTGGGATCAGGAGACAGGACTGTGTGGGATCAGGAGACAGGACTGTGTGGGATCAGACAGGACGGGACAGGAACAGTGTGGGATCGGAGACAGACTGTGAGGAAGAGACAGGACTGTGTGGGATCAGGAGACAGGACTGTGTGGGATCAGGAGACAGGACTGTGTGGGATCAGGAGACAGGACTGTGTGGGATCAGGAGACAGGACTGTGTGGGATCAGGAGACAGGACTGTGTGGGATCAGGAGACAGGACTGTGTGGGATCAGCAGACAGGAGCGAGCCAGGACAACCTACTGGGTGCCAGAGAGCGCTCACTGTGGCGGGCTCTCTGCCCGGTAGATATCACTGGGCTCTGGGACTAGGAGGAGGATTAGGCTAGAGATGTAGATCCCTTCTGACTGAAGATGGAGAAGCAGATCTGTTATAGCCCCGTCTGTTACCTTCGATGTGAAGCTTCGATGTGGGCAATGATATGTCGACTCCCAAATTGGTATTCTAAATATCATAAGGTTTTGATTTGAAAAATGTAAACTCCTGTTTTATTACAGCTGTTAGTCCTGAATATGTGATGCTACTCTGTTTTACCTAATTGGCAGGACAGGGTGTGTTTACCACAGTCAATCGCTCTTATGGATGAATCCTGTATTACACATAGGCATGCACAGCCACAGCATCGCTTTCTCTCTCTCTCTCTTTCTCTCTCCCTCTCTCTCTTTCTCCTACTCTCTCTCCTTCTCCTACTCTCTCTCCCACTCGATATCCCCCGGACTCTGTCTGTCCATGTCAGCCCTGTCACTGTCAGCAACCTATAACCCTGTTCTCTAAGGGTCCTGACCTCTGACCTCGCTCTTCTCTCCATGTGACAGCTCTGTGATGGCCATGAGCAGCTTGGAGGGCAGTGCCACCGAGGCCGTTCAGATCTGGACACCAGCGACTCCGAGCTGGTGCTAAGGACATGGGACTCTCCCTCAGAGTTAGCGACAGGCTCAGCAGCACTAGACGTTACAGTGACAAACCAGTGGTGGAGCAGGCCTGCACCCAGAGCCTTCTCACCCCCTGTAGGACGTCACCACCACCACAGGACCAGCAGCACACAGTAAGTAGCTTGACTCACTTGACTTAAGCCCTTGGGTCCTGTAAGGAGCATAGGCCATTGGCCACAAAGTACATTTGGGGTCGGGGGAAATTAAAAACAGCATTGCCTTCACTTTAGTCAAGATAGAATGACAGATATTACAAGTCAGCAGAGCTGCACTTGAAAATAAAATATAAAATTTGTGTGCCGGAATAACTTGATAGATGGGATCAGCCTGATGTTATACTAACTGTAAGTCGCTCTGGATAAGAGCGTCTGCTAAATGACCCAAATGTAAATGTTATAGTTATTGCTCTTCAAGGTGACCATTTTGATCTGCCTGTCAGTCAGTTTCCACTCAGTATTCAGTAAAAAAAAAACTAAAATAGCACTGCACACTGCAGAACAAAAAAACCATACATTTTGTTATTGGAGAGAGCATGTAAAGGTTTGAAGATGGGTGTGAGAGGAGCAGGGTTGGAGTAACGGATGACATGTAATCTGATTACAAAAAAACGAATTAATCAGTAACGTTACCAGCTAAAATATTGTAATCAGATTAGATACTTTTGAAAAACTAGATGACTTCTTGGATTACGTTTAAATTCCGAAAGGATGTTTGCGAAGAAATGCATTTTGACACCTTTCGGTTTCTCAGTGACATTCAATTCAGCATTGAAAACAGGAGTAGGTTCTTTTATTTGTTCCACCGGAGCGGGTCTGACCACAAGTCAGAGACCACTATGATGACACACCGAATGCGTTTGATGGATCCTTTCCAAAAAGCCGGTATGATACATTTTGCATCATACCTGCTATATTTCTGTATTTTGGAAGTTCTATATCTTGAAAATTGTATTGCTTATATGCAAAACATTTTGGGACTATATCAACAATGGACTAATGAAATAAATTAAGGGGAAGTAATCCGAAAGTAATCCGATTTACGTTACGGAGTTTGTGTAATCCAAAAGTTACGTTACTGAATCCAATTTTGGACAGGTAAGGTGCTGTTTTCAAGGGATTGTTAAATATATTTGAACTATTTAGTTGTAATATCATCACCTCTTGAAGAGCATAGTCAGACCTACACATTTCCAATTATTCCACATTTAGCTCTATCAGAGTTATACAGCAAGGAACTGCATGCTTTTCATGATCAGTAAACATCAATTGATCATCTAATTTCCGATATGTGAGGGTAGCCTCACAATATCTCTCAATATTGGCCACCATTAATTGGATATTTGAGTGATATAAAATAAGTGAAATATACTTGACAAGTATGTGGTTTTAGGTTAATTTCCCATCCTTTGTGGGCTCTGCCTGTCAAGCAGCAGAAGGGCGAATTTGCCGATGTACTGTTATCTGATAATATTTACTTTGCTAGCTACCTGATCATGTTTACTTTGCAAGTTACCTGATAATGTTTACTTTGCAAGCTACCGTTATAAACAGTTGGCTATACATATAGTGATAGGTAGACCTAATGTAGGCTACTTTTTTCTCCAACCAACGTAGGCCTACCTAGCGGAGTTGGCTAGCATTTTCCCCTTTTCAACATTGTTAATAAGTGTTTAATCACGATTGCTGCTGACAGACATGATAGGCTACATTGATTGATGGACCACGTCAAATTGGCTAGCTAGCTAATAACAGATCACATCGATATGGCTAGCTAGCTAACAACAGATCACGTGAATATGGCTAGTTAACAAGCAAACTTCCAGGGGATAAACTAGATGGCTATATCCGAATATTGTTTGATTTGTTTGCCATATATAGTAGGGTTGGGCGGTTTCCAGATTTTCATATCCTCATACTGTCCTCCTCTCCCACCGGGATATACGGTATTATCGGTTTAGTACACAAGGGGGCGCCAAAAACGCACAAAAAAAACATTGGCCGTCTATCAGAATGATAACAAAATTAGCACAAGTAACAACGAATTTCCATGGAGGCTGCTAGCTAAATATGCTAATGAGTGCAAACTAAAATAAACGAATTGTGAAGGCAGGCAATCCAGCTCATAAAGTTATACATATTTAGGTAGGAGCTACAGAATGTCATTTTTGTTGAGTTTGGACATTTACATGTGAATGAGAGACATTGTGCAAATGAACACAGTTTTGACTAATGCTTGTTTGAAGGAAGAACAGTACTGTTTACACACTGTGTCTGTGTGGAGTCACAAGAGCAATGGACCTGCCTGCTCTGCTCGGAGAAGATAGGAGCAGAGCAGATGGGCCCAGAACAGAGAGGAGAAAACACAAAGGAATCAAGCTGCAGTGGCAGCTGGATACAGATAACTCATGCAAAGGGTTTTGACTTCTCAAACATGGCAGAAAGCTAACACAATATGATGCCCCGTGACGTTATTAATTCAGCCACGTACTTACATAACGAGCAAGTTAAACTTAGGGGTCGCCCTAATGCAGAATTCTTCGTTTTTCACGCAGGAAAAAAATATGAAACTCATAAGAAATATCTTCCTGTGTTTTGTAAACGCAGATCTAAAAAGCTTCTTATGGTAATTTCTGCTTATAGTTTTTTTTTAAATAAAAATGCCTTTTTCATTGTAAGTTCATTTACTTGTATGGCTGCCAGCCAAATAGTGTTGCACTTCTGTCGTCATCTGATGACAATCAAACTATTTTCTGCCTAATGTGTTGCGCTAATGTATTTAATGTGAAGGAAAACTATAGTTGCATGTTCTGATGACTATTGAAGAAAAACAGTTGACAGGGGTCGCGTTTTATATTGAAAGTCAATACACAGCTGGACTCACCTGCTCCCGCTTTCTCCCATTGTGCTATTTACAAGAAACACTGTCTCGCTAGATACATGCCAAATGGATAGGCTACCCTCACGTATCTGAAATTACACGATCAATTGATACACTTACTGATCATGAAAAGCATGCAGTTACTTGCTGTATAACTCTGATGATGAAGCTAAATGTGGAATACTGGGACATTTGTAGTTCTGACTATGCTCTTCAAGAGGTGACGATATTTCAACCAAATAGTTACATTTATTTAATAATCCCTTAAACGGCACATAGTTGTCAATGGTTTAGCGGAGCTGGTGGTCTCCTTTACCCCCAGCAGCCAAATCGAACGTTCTGTACCGTATTGTGACGTTTTATTCATAACGACCTATAGAGCGGCCAATAGAGTCATGGAGTCATTCCACTCGTTGGAACATTCTGGAATCCAGGGTGTCAGTGCTATTTTTCTATAGCCACAAGCTCTCTCCTCCAATAGCACTGTCTGTCTCACAGGCTCTTTCTCAATGTGTCTTTCTGTGATTCCTCTATCTTCCAAATGAATTGGTCCCTCCCAGTGTTTCCGCTGCACTCATTTTGCTGTGGTGCTGCGCCACGGCAAAATTATTGCCGCCACGCAACAAAAAAAAGATGGAACATGAAAACAATATTTCTGCTGAAGCGCATTTTGAAGATGCTACAACATTCCACATGTACTTTTCCTCAGCAAACAAAACGAGTAATTAATAGAAAAATCTAACAACCCCATAGTAGAATAGTTGATCTATTTACCTAGTCGGCTTGTTGTGTTCTATTTGCTCGATAAATATTACTCTCGTGGCGCATTCATGTTATAAGTGCCACAGGAAGGGAAACATGCATTCTGAGAAGCAGTCAATGCACAACAATTATTGCAATCGCGAAAACAGCAGTTTTAATGGCTTTTGTTAAAGGAGGGGAATCCCAGTTTTCCATATCTACTTTATTTCTCAACTCTATTTTAAAACCGGGTTTTTTAGCAGAAGCATGGTTAAGCACGTTAATGCTCTGCAATTAGCAGCAAGTGCATAGGGGAGAGTGGGGCTAAATGTAACACCGGTCAATTGTAGGGTGACTTGGGGTAAAACGCCTCACTACCTCAAAATCATTTCTTTGGAATGACTTAAAAAATTGTGATGAGACAGATCATATTTTTGGTTGAGCAAGAGTAGTGGAAACCAGGAAAAGTGTTGGGGGGAAAATTGTGACATGAAGTGGTTTCTGTGAGATGTACAGGCAGTGGGCTTTTTACCCAGAGTGGTGAGTTACCCTAACAGGTAGGCATACATTATATTCAGTGTTTATGCAAGTTTTTTGTGACATAAAATTCATCAATATGATAATAACTAGTTAAAAGATGACATTTGAGATCTGGCTAATGATTAGCCCAATAGGGTAAATGCAGATAGGCAACCCCATGCTTCAGCCTATTTATTTGCACTTTGCTGCATCAGTTGGGCTAAAGGTGATAATGTTTATTGCTAATAGCATTCATGATAATAGGCTATACACTGTACATGGCCCAATATGTTAAAATAATTGTAATAAATCATTTTACCATTTTCTGAAGGTGGGCTAATTTCTGGAGGTGGAAATTCTATTTTAGATGGTGTCAGCATACTTATTTTAATTCATTTTGGAGTAGAATGTCCCCCCCCCCCCCCTCAACCCCCCCTCCGCAACCTCCCCCCCCCCCCCACTGCTACACATTTTCCCAGAGGAAACACTGGTCCCTACCCTCTGACCTTCTCCTCCAATGCATTTTGAGAAGGAGGCAAGGAGGACGGACATGAGGAATTGAGAAAAGACACATTTCCAAACTTGAACCTTCTCCCCCATCGGGTTTGAGAAGGAATCAAGGAAAGACTAATTGAGACGGAGCCACAGTGTTAATATGTCAGGGACTGAATCAGATGGGGCCTCTCAACCTCTAATTAAGTCATTAATCACAGTTCTCATAAACCAGATGTCTCCTTCCCTAACCCTCCCCTCTTCTCTATGATGTCTCCTTCCCTAACCCTCCCCTTCTCTATGATGTCTCCTTCCCTAACCCTCCCCCTCTTCTCTATGATGTCTCCTTCCCTAACCCTCCCCTCCTTCTCTATGATGTCTCCTTCCCTAACCCTCCCCTCTTCTCTATGATGTCTCCTTCCCTAACCTTCCCCTTCTCTATGATGTCTCCCCTAACCCTCCCCTCTCTCTATGATGTCTCCTTCCCTAACCCTCCCTCTTCTCTAGATGTCTCCTTCCCTCCTACCCTCCTCTTTTATGGTCTCTTCCCTAACCCTCCCCTCTTCTCTATGATGTCTCCTTCCCTAACCCTCCCCTCTTCTCTATGATGTCTCCTTCCCTAACCCTCCCCTCTTCTCTATGATGTCTCCTTCCCTAACCCTCCCTCTTCCTCTATGATGTCTCCTTCCCTAACCTCCCCCTCCTCTCTATGATGTCTCCTTCCCCTCCCCTCTCTCCTCTATGATGTCTCCTTCCCAACCCCTCCCTCTTCTCCTCCTAACCCTCCTTTCCATATGCTCCTCTCCTAACCTCCTATTCTCTATCTCTCCTTCCTCTAAGTCCCTTCCTATATTCCCCTTCCTAAGAGTCCTCTTCCTAACCCTTCCACCTCCACTTTCTCTGATGTCTCCTTCCCTACCTCCCCACTCTCTATGATGTCTCCTTCCCTAACCTCCCTCTCCTTCCTCTCCTACCTCTCTCTATGATGTCTCCTTCCCTAACCCTCCCCTCTTCTCCTCTCTGATGTCTCCTTCAACCCTCCCCTCCTGAATCTTCTCCTTAACCCCTCCCTCTCCTAATTCTCCTCCTACCCCTCTTCTCTCATATGTCTCCTTCCCTAACCTCCCCTCTTCAATCTTTTCTATATCTCCTTCCTACCCTCCCTAACTCCTCTTGATGTCTCCTTCCCTACCTCCCTCCTCCCATATCTTCCTCTATGATGCTCTCCCTCTTCCCTCTATATCTCCTCCTATACTCCTCCTTCTCCTCCTCTACTCTTCTCCTGAGTCTCCTTCCTAATTCTCCTCCCTCTCTCATATGTCTCCTAATCTCCTAACCCTCCCTCTTTCTCTTGATGTTCCTTCCCTAACCCTCCCCTCTTCTCTATGATGTTCTTCCTTCCCTAAGCCCTTCCCTAATCCTCTTATGAGTTCTCCTTCCCTAACCCTCCCCTCTAATCTTCTCTTGATGTCTCCTTCCCTAACCCTCCCCTCTAATCTTCTCTATGATGTCTCCCTTCCCCTAACTTCTCCTTATTCTATGTTCCTTCCCTAACCTCCCCCTAATCTTCTCTATGATGTCTCCTTCCCTAACCCTCCCCTCTTCTCTATGATGTCTCCTTCCCTAACCTCCCCTCTTCTCTATGTCTCCTTTCCCAACCTCCCTCTTCCTATATCTCTTCCCATCTCCCTTCCCCTTATATCTCCTCCTCCCTACCTCTCTCTCCTATGATGTCTCCTTCCCTAACTCTCTCCTCCCCTTCTCTATGATGTCTCCTTCCCTAACTCTCTCCTCCCCTCTTCTCTATGATGTCTCCTTCCCTAACTCCTCCCCTCTCTCTTTCTCTCTATTCCTCTTCCTAATTCCCTTCCCACCTCCCTCTTCTCTATATATGCTGCTGCAAGAGACTTGCTGCTATATTTAGGCCACTATTACAACATAAACACTCCCCCCGTCAGTGTCCTGCGCATTAGTCCCTAAATGAAGTCATTCGATTTCAGATGTTCTAACTAATAGAGACGTTTACAATATGTCTCTTTGGTTTGGTCCTTTGGCGCCCATGTTTTCTCACCTCCTCTATTCTCTGTAAATGCATGATATTTCAATGCCCATGTTTTCTCACCTCCTCTATTCTCTGTAAATGCATGATATTTCAATGCCCATGTTTTCTCTCCTCTATTCTCTGACTGTAGGTGTAAGATGTCTTTTGATGTAGCTCTAATGAGAAATGATTTGCATTTTGATTAGTAAAATCCCAGTCTCTCTCCATCCTCTCTCTGTCTCTGTCTCTCTCTCTCTCCATCCCCAGGTCCCCAGTAACAGCAGTGTTGTATAGAGACTCTCTGTAAGCTGTGCGCCTGATGAGGATGTCTGATCCTGTTACTGTAAAGGACATCAGTAGGACTGACACTGAGACCATGAAGGTTTGTGAGGCTGGAGTGGAGCTGGAGGCAGCAGACTCCACCCCAACGCCTGGAGCAGACATTAGCCTTAACGGTGTGAAGGAGCAACACAAACAGTCTGGGAGACTGGTGCTGGAACACAATGTGACCGGTCACCAAGACCAAAGCTGCTGTGACAACAAGAGGGAAACCTCACAGGTAAACACACTGGTGTAAACAAACACACAAACAGAGCCTTTTAGTGTGGACCAATGAGATCAGTTTTCCATTATATCACATCCACAATTTGAACTTGTTTTACTACGACTCTGGTAAAAAAAAATAGAAATACGGTAATATAATTTAAATATGGTAATATAATTTAAATATGGTAATAGCATTGAGCTCATGCTCAATGTGAACTCTGTTTACAGTCATGTAAATACTGTAACGTATCAGATAAAACAATCATGAAGAAATTGGTGGAAGAAGCTGTGCTGATACAGTGCAGCAAAATATTCCTTTGTTTTAGGATTGGAGGTAATGCTGACAGGCAGCAGACAGGGTCTTGTCTCAGGGTTGGAGGTAATGCTGACAGGCAGCAGACAGGGTATTGTCTCAGGGTTGGAGGTAATGCTGACAGGCTGCAGACAGGGTATTGTCTCAGGGTTGGAGGTAATGCTGACAGGCAGCAGACAGGGTATTGTCTCAGGGTTGGAGGTAATGCTGACAGGCAGCAGACAGGGTATTGTCTCAGGGTTGGAGGTAATGCTGACAGGCAGCAGACAGGGTATTGTCTCAGAGTTGGAGGTAATGCAGACAGGCAGCAGACAGGGTATTGTCTCAGGGTTGGAGGTAATGCTGACAGGCTGCAGACAGGGTATTGTAACAGGGTTGGAGGTAATGCTGACAGGCAGCAGACAGGGTATTGTCTCAGGGTTGGAGGTAATGCTGACAGGCAGCAGACAGGGTATTGTCTCAGGGTTGGAGGTAATGCTGACAGGCAGCAGACAGGGTATTGTCTCAGGGTTGGAGGTAATGCTGACAGGCAGCAGACAGGGTATTGTCTCAGGGTTGGAGGTAATGCTGACAGGCAGCAGACAGGGTATTGTCTCAGGGTTGGAGGTAATGCTGACAGGCAGCAGACAGGGTATTGTCTCAGGGTTGGAGGTAATGCTGACAGGCAGCAGACAGGGTATTGTCTCAGGGTTGGAGGTAATGCTGACAGGCAGCAGACAGGGTATTGTCTCAGGGTTGGAGGTAATGCTGACAGGCAGCAGACAGGGTATTGTCTCAGAGTTGGAGGTAATGCAGACAGGCAGGAGTATAAATGGGAAGCAGGACAAGTAAAACTGACCGACCTTGACGGTGGCTGGAGACGCAGCCAGACTGAAGAATCCAGATAATCTTGATCTCAAATCCTGGCTTATCTACAAACTTCCTGTGTGTCAGGAGAGAGAGAGACTGAATGGGTGCCGGATGGGCAGAGAGGGAGTGGTGTGTGCGTGTCCTCTGTGACTTTGCCACCATCTGCCCCTGCCATGTTCTCTCTCTCAGGCCAGGTACCTTGTAGTGCTGATGTCAGCGTTTTCTTCTCTCTCATTGTTCATTTCCTTACTGTCCTCTTCAATTAGCTGGTCTACCAGTGCTGTCACAACTACCAACACACACACCACTCACTGTCCCTACAGGTCATACACATGCCTGGAAATGGGAACGGTCCGTTTCAATCTTTATTTCATTAATGTTATCTAACCCTCCAGCGCAGCGGGGAAAGGAAATGTCCTTTGGTTGGTTATAGAGGACAGGAGCAAGAGAAGTGTCTGTGTGTGTACAGACTGAGAGGAGCATGGGGCCTGCCAGCCGTTCTGTCTAAATCAGACACAGCCTTCGCCTCTGACTCCCTAGGACCTCTCCCTGTGCACGCACGCATGCACGCACTCAGAACACACACACGAACACGCGCCGATGGTGTGTGAAGAGCAGAGGCAATGAGCTGCCCCCCCCCCCCCCCCACTGCCTCCTGTTCTCCTCCAACCTCAGAACACTGGTCTTTGCTCTAGGAAAATGACAGGAAAATGGGTCTGAGAGAGAAAAATGTGAAAATGATCTGAGAGAAAATTAAGTCAAATGTACATGGTAGTCGGACAGAAGTCTGGGTCTAATTTCTCACAGACAGGAAGGTGTTTGAATCACTAGGGTGACAATTCATCTCGGCCTATAAAGGGCTCCTCCTGTATAATTGGATGTTTTGTCACATGCCTATATTGATTGGCCAAGCTCTTCAGTAGGGGTGTACATTGACGTCCGATATGTATCACATGTATGTATTCAGCCTTTCTTCCTGTTGTTCTGGACCTGGACCGCAATATTATTTAACGTTGTAGTTTTGTTAGCTAAACTCCACCTTTTTGTGGTCTGTTTTGGACAGCAACACACTCTATCAGCTGGCCAGCCAGTGAGGCGTTCTAAGGTACAGCCAGGGACTAGCATGATGCTTGACACCACATACATTATCATTTCATCTCAAGTGGTTCTGCTGAGAAGACTGATTTATCCAATATGTCTTCTTATATATTTGCCTGCTGTTGACTTAGTTCTTGTTCTGTAGTGAACAAGTGAGGGGGGTCAAACTCATTCTATGGAGGGCCTAGTGTCTGAGGGTTTTTGGTTTTCCTTTCAATTAAGCCCTAGACAACCAGGTGAGGGGAGTTCTTTACTAATTAGTAACCTTCATTTATCGATCGAGTACAAGGGACCCGCAGATACTCGGTTCTCCGTGGGATGAGTTTGACACGTGATTTAAGTCATCCCTTTAAAAACATCCGGTGGTGCGCTGATATTACTTTCTGGCCTTTTATCATCACTGGCATGATTTCCAGACTTTCAAGACTGACTTATTTACATGTATTGAAGTGTCTGCTAACCATCACGTTAGTTACATGCATGGATTGGATTTGATACACCGAACTCATTTTGAGATCTGAGCATATTCTGTCGGTCGTGGTTGCTTGGTGCTTGCTGGCCTTTTTTACGTCTTGGTTTGTATTTAGACTTGGTCGGTTCGTGTTTGTCTGGTGAAATTATCAACGCACGTCATCAAAAGGAACATATTTTTAACCGTTGTCAATATACTGTACTCTCCCCCAGTCGAAGGCAAAGTTAAAGTTAGTACGGAGCCTAGCTGTCTGTGAAGAATCCTCTCCTCCCCTTACTGAGCACCAGCTGACACCAGATCCTCAGGTAAACCTTTAGATACACACACACACACACACACACACACACACACACACACACACACACACACACAGAGACACACAGACAAAAAGAGAGACACACACACCCTTGGGTAAACCCCCAGACGGCTCCTTCTACCCCATTAGCTGTGGCTCATTTCACGAACGTCACTCTGCTTTCTCACCAGACACACACACACACACACACACACACACACACACACAGCCAGCAGCTAGAGGGCTTTGCCTTTCATCCTGTCGACACTAACTTCATCAAAACCCCCAGGGTGTGCTCCACCACAAACCGTTGTGTGTGTGTTACTCACATCCATCATCTTGGAGAACATTCTATTTTCGCGTGTCAGAACACGGAGGCCTGTGGATTGATATAATTGAATAGAACGGATGTCGCTATGATACCCTTCCTTCAACCTATTCCTTTGAGTCTCAGTCAGCACGACACAAAGATGTCCATGGCGAATGGTGTTTGGAGTGATATAGGGAATCTTTTTCTTTTATTTAGGTTTGTCTCTTTCTATGGAAAGGCTGACATTTTTTATGCCAATTATTTCTCCTTGAGTGAAACTGTTTCCTTGGTCTAGAAGAGAAAATAAAATATTCTCTTTCTGAATTATTATTCTACTTCTCTGTAAAGATTCATTGGCCTTGCTGTGAAATGGCTTACTAGGAAACCCTGACAGTGTGTTTAAATGGAAATGCTTATTTAATCAAGATATACTTCCTTGAACTCGTGAGTGAGATTTAACCCCCTCCTCCTCTGGGTTCTATTCAGTCCTCTTTCACTCTTTTCTTCCTCCCACTCTTCTTCCCCCCTCTCTCTCTCTCTCAACGTTCTCCCTCTCTTCTCCCCCTCACTCCCCCTTCCTCACATCTCACTTTCTTTGAGGCTTTTCTGTAGCAACATTAGTTCTTTCTTTTGTTAAGCTGTTGTGCTGTACCTCTACAGCGAAGCCTCCCTGAGAGGCAGAGTATATCACTGATGTAAACATTACATCTCCCTTCCAGAAACCACTGGCTCACAACTTCTTAACCTAGCTGCCTCTACCCTGAAGTCGTATTTAATTTTAAGCTTCTTGCGTTCCTTTGGCAGCCAGCATTCTGAGGCTGCGTTCCAAATGGCACCCTATTCCCTATCGGCCTTGGTCAAAAGTAGTGCACTATATGGGGAATAGGGTGCCATTTAGGACGCTGGCTGAGTTTCAGTGGACTGTTCAGCTTTAGCTCCTCTCTGCCTTTGTACTAGTGTTGAATAGTGAATCCGAGCTTCTTCAGAGCAGAGAATGAAGCGTAGCAGAGAGATTAAGGTGAGGAGAGTAGCGGGGTTAAACCAAAGTCAAGGCTGAGAAGGCCTTGAAACTCATAGAACTGGAATGATTAGAATGTAGATTTTCATTCAAGTGAGTACTGTCAAATGGTTGTTATATTCTTGTGAACTAATAGTAATTTCCATGCTCGTTAAGCCTTAGACATGTTACAATTTGATATTTTAGTAATTTAGCAGACTCTTATCCAGAGTGACGTACAGGCACAATTAGGGCAAGGGCACATCAGATTTTTCACCTAGTCAGCTCGGGGATTCGAACCAGCGACCTTTCGGTTACTGGCCCAACGCTCTTAACCACTAGGCTACCGGCCACTCTTAGAAAATATAATAATTCAACCGAGTGTCAAAATGGCTGTGCTATGAGGGGCTTTCCATTCTAATCATTTTATTTCTATGCTTGTCTTGCAACAAGTCTTCCAAAGGGAGCTCTTTCATGTGGTGCAATACATGGAATGATGGATGTTAAGGTGTGGAAGATGAGACAGGCTTTCTATTGAATGTATTCTCTTCCCCCAACAAAAAGCAGTTCTATCTTTTGACTCTCAGTACTCACAACTCAGTATGTAGGCCCATATACTGTTAGTTTTTTATGTATTCACATCATTGGTTATTTCAAAATGATGTATGATTTTCAGCTGCTTAATGAATAAATAAAACGATGTTAATCCTTGTGATTTAATTGGCGAGGTGATTATCATATGTATGGAGGAAGGTTTATCGCTCGGTGCAGCACTGTTTCTTTTAGCTGAGCTGTTATTTGAAATAAAAACAGTGCTCTCACAATAAACCACACATTTTAAATTAGGTCTGTCGGCATATACTTATTTGCACAAGATAAACATGTAAACCCCTTAAATATGTTTTAATTAACTTCCAACCGAGTGCGAGATTGTGGAGAGAATTAGATGCTAATTCTTAATGTGACATGCTAATTCATTCTGTCTGGTGTATTTAAATGTTTGTGTACTTCTCAAATGGCACCCTATTCCCTATGTAGTGCACTACTTTTGATCAGTGCCCATAGGGAATAGGGTGCCATTTAAGAAACTGCTTTAATCATGGGGATACTCTTCTGTTGAACAGGATCAGATTCACATCCAGATATCCCAGTCCTTTGATAAGGAGGAGCTGTCTGCCAAGGGTGAGAAAGAGAAGGTTGAGAAACCAGAGAAGATGCCCAGGAAAATGCTGTCAAGAGGTGTGTGTGTGTGTGTGTGTGTGTGTGTGTGTGTGTGGAAGAGTTGACGGAGAGGTTGATTTGTTGTCTTTGTGTGGAAAATAGTGAGTGAAAATATAATGGCCATCCCTGCCTTCAAAGACACACGCACACATACACATGCACGGTTGTGTTTGTATGTTACAATACAAGACCTTGAAGACATGATGTGAGCTTTACTCTAGTGAAATAATGAACTGATTCCGGAACATATGGAGCTCTCTGAGAAATCTAATATAGAATCCTAGGAGACAATGGGTGCATTTGTAAATTCACTCTGGCTATCTACTACTCCGATTTCAGAGCACTCTCGTCTGAGTGTGCCAGAGCGATTAATAACCTATTAATTTACGAACGCGCAACACCCGTTGAATATTACATTTCCATTTTAGTCATTTAGCAGACGCTCTTATCCAGAGCGACTTACAGTTAGTGAGTGCATACATGTAATATTAAATATGACCGGTGTCAGTAAACGTAAAAAAAAAAAAAACATTATTAAATTGTTGCCAGCAGCACAGTTGCAGTCACCAACATGAAATCAGCCGAACCAGCTCACCTAGGGCGAGTACAATGGTCAGAGTGAGGTGTTCTCATTTGTTTGGAAGTAGCTAGCAAGCTAGCAAACTTTAGCCAGTTAGCTTGGGTGCTTGACTGCCATTGTGAGGTCAGAACGCTCGGATCAACCCTACTCCGGCCAGAGCGTCCAGTGTGCGCTCTGAACGCTCAGAGAGCGAAACGTTCTGAATTTATGAACGGACAATCTAACAACGCTCTGAATTTACGAACGCCCAGAGCGCACACTGAGCGCACTCTGGCACTCCAGAGTGAATTTACGAACACACCCTATAGTCCACAAAGATGTGTTGTGTATAGAGCACCATTACCAGAATGATTCCTCGTCTTGTTTCTAGATTCCAGCCAGGACTATACAGACTCTACTGGAATAGACCTGCACGACTTCCTGGTCAACACTCTACAGAACAACCCCAGAGACAGAATGATGCTGTTGAAGTTGGAGCAGGACATTCTGGACTTTATCAGTAATAATGAGTAAGTTATTTCATTAATACATTTGTTGATTGATTTAATGTATTTTATTTATTTATAGTTAGTGCAATTTTATTTGAATGTAATTACATTTTATAGTTGTATTGTATTATTTTAGCCTTTCAGTAAAGCTCATTCAGTTCTTGTCTTTCCTAGAAGCCAGAAGAGGAAGTTCCCCCCCATGACGTCGTACCATAGAATGCTGCTACACAGAGTGGCTGCCTACTTTGGCATGGATCACAATGTTGACCCCACCGGGAAGTCGGTCATCATCAACAAAACTAGCAATACAAGAATGTACGTTTTTAATTTGGTACCAGTCAATGTATTTATATTTTTTATAATACATTATTTTCAGTATTTATACTGAAGCACAATGCTAAATTTTATTAGGTTCTATGAAGCTCAAATACATCAAATTACTTTGAAAGTAGAAAGTATATATTAGTTGGTAGATTTGGCGTAGATTTTTTTTCACGCCTCGAAACTTCCAGTAATGTAAATTCTCGTCCACAGACCAGATCAAAAATTCTCAGAACACATAAAAGACGACAAAACAGACGATTTCCAAAAACGCTACATTCTCAAAAGAGACAACTCCAGCTCCGACCGGGAAGACTGCATGGTAGGTGGTTTCTGTGTTCCAATCAAATGTCAGGCTGTGTCCCAAATGGCACCCTGTTCTCTATATAGCGCCCAATGGGCCCTGGTCAACAGAAGGAAAGGATATGGGGAATAGGGTGCCGTTTGGGATGCATCCTCAGTGATATGTCTGTGAGAGGGTGACGATCTGGTGCCGCTGTTCCAGCTGCTAGCTAAAGTTGTGCTGAAGCTTCTAGCTGTGCTGAAGCTGCTAGCTAAGCTAAGCTAAGCTTCAGCTAAGCTGTGCTGAAGCTGCTAGCTAAGCTGTGCTGAAGCTGCTATCTGTGCTGAAGCTATTAGCTAAGCTGTGCGGAAGCTGCTAGCTAAGCTAAGTTGTGCATGTGCTTGCAGATACGAATGCGCCTGAAAGACGACAGGAGAAGCAAATCTATCGAGGAGAGAGAGGAGGACTATCAGAGAGCCAGGGACAGGATATTTGCTCCAGATGTGAGATTTTGGGGGGGAAATTATATTGTAATATATCTAATCAATTTAGATTCATGATGCATTTGTGTTTATGAAGTAAAATATGGATCTGCTTTATGGACTGCAAATGACATGTAAGTAAGACATTAAAATATATGTATTTTTTTCCACAGGGAGATCATTTCCATCTAGATGGAAGGTAAATATCATTCACATATGAGTCTAATTTGACTGGTACAACATGGACGTTTGACTGGTTGGTACAACATGGACATTTGACTGGTTGGTACAACATGGACATTTGACTGGTTGGTACAACATGGACGTTTGACTGGTTGGTACAACATGGACATTTGACTGGTTGGTACAACATGGACGTTTGACTGGTTGGTGCAACATGGACGTTTGACTGGTTGGTACAACATGGACGTTTGACTGGTTGGTACAACATGGACGTTTGACTGGTTGGTACAACATGGACGTTTGACTGGTTGGTACAACATGGACGTTTGACTGGTTGGTACAACATGGACGTTTGACTGGTTGGTGCAACATGGACGTTTGACTGGTTGGTGCAACATGGACGTTTGACTGGTTGGTGCAACATGGACGTTTGACTGGTTGGTGCAACATGGACATTTGACTGGTTGGTACAACATGGATTTGATACCCTTTCATAATGTTGCACCTCCCCATGCAGGACCCCTGATGAAGAGGCTTGTATCAGCACACAACAGAGACGGCAACTCTTCAGGTACTTCCTTTCTGTCACAGATCTCTCACTCACTCACACACACACACATCCATCTAAACTCTCCCTTGTTTCCTCAGACTAGGGGATGGGCGATCAGCCAGCAGTAGACAGAGCAGCTCTGAGAATGACCCCAAGAACTCTGATGCCCGGCCGTGGAGCAGCACTGATTCAGACAGCTCCAACCGTAACCTGAGGCCGACCATGACCAAGGCCAGCAGCTTCAGCAGCATCTCTGTCCTCATCAGAGGAGACAGCTCAGCCAGCAGCAAGAGCACCGGACGTCTCTCCAAAACAGGCAAGTAACGGGGTCAAATGCACACGCCATGTGTCGTGTTAAGTCTGCTTTTTTCCACAGCACAGTGAAGCACCTGTTTTAATAACAGAATGAACCCTAATACTTCACCTCTTACTAACATATTGGGATGCTAGTGAGGTAGAAGCTGAATCACCTCTTACCAACTCATTGTGATGTTACTGAGGTAGAAGCTGAATCACCTCTTACCAACACATTGTGATGTTACTGAGGTAGAAGCTGAATCACCTCTTACCAACTCATTGTGATGTTACTGAGGTAGAAGCTGAATCACCTCTTACCAACTCATTGTGATGTTACTGAGGTAGAAGCTGAATCACCTCTTACCAACACATTGTGATGTTACTGAGGTAGAAGCTGAACTTCTCCTCTGAAATCTCTGTGTAATAAAGAAAAATGTGTTCTGTGTCCATGACTACTTGCTGGTAACAGATTCTTACCCCAAGTGTGGTCAGTCACCCCTAGACAATGTGATACACAAGTTTCTGACTGACATGAGTTGTAATTGGTCCTTCACTGTGTGTCTGTGCACCATTCCTGTTTAATACAGGCATACTGGGGGAATGGAGAGCCAGTTTTCTTTGTTTATCCTGTTTTGGTTCCTCCTCCGTCCCTTGTCTTTTCGTTCCGTTTCTTCTTCTGCTGTCTCTGTTCTAGAGGCTTTTCTGTTTTGGTTTCATGTGATTCCATTTTCACAAGGCACTGACTTCTCCAGCCAGACATGTTCTTTCTTTTAAGTAGTTTACGACGATGGGGCTCACTTTGTGCAGCACAAGATCTGCTCTGCCGCTACTGGGAGGCCATTTTGTGTCCCTGTTAGCTCTGTCATATGGCTCATCTCTTCATAACAGTCTTCTGCATGCAATGCATGTCATCCTTTGGTTCTTTGGCATCATTTAGCATTTTTGGTTTTAGCATTTTTTCTCATTTTGTTATAGTATCCCCAATATCTTTAAGTGCTGGTTGTTTAGTTTGTGTAGAAAACATGAATAATGATGGCTATCACAACTCTGAATTCATTGTCTTTTACTGTTGTCAAGATGGAGAGATGTCTTTTTAACCTCTCCAGTAATACTGTACATCAAGAGAGATTAAACTTGAGCCTAGTTTTCCTGTTTTGTCTGTCCAGATTTCAAAGCTCCTGATAGCGTTGCTTTTGACATCAAATATCTGAGGTTTGGGTACGTGCCGTAAGAGGAAAAACAGGACCAACTTTGACATTCTAAATCAGGAAAATGTGTCAACATGTATTGCTGCATTACTGACAAACGAATAACATGTTTGTGGTTATACTCTTTTTAAGATGTAGACCACTTAAATTACAGTTGATATGGGCTCATACAAGATGTCCACAACGGGACAAATATCACCTATAGCCAATGAATTCACTCACTATGTGTCCCACTTTTGAATGGACCAATGGCTATCCTCCTTCTACCCCTGTAACCTCAGAAGTGACCAATAGCTGTCCTTCTTGTGCCCCTGTGCCCCTGCCCAGAGGCTGGCTATGCAGGCGTTACAAGTCGCTGCCTCTGTAGGACGTCTTTAGTGATTTTCTCTGTTCTCTGTAGGACGTCTTTAGTGATCTTCTCTGTTCTCTATATGACGTCTTTAGTGATCTTCTCTGTTCTCTATAGGACGTCTTTAGTGATCTTCTCTGTTCTCTATAGGACGTCTTTAGTGATCTTCTCTGTTCTCTATAGGACGTCTTTAGTGATCTTCTCTGTTCTCTATAGGACGTCTTTAGTGATCTTCTCTGTTCTCTATAGGTAAAATATATTTTCATCCCTCCCTCCTCTAGGTTCTGAGTCTTCTAATAGTGTAGGGTCTTCTACGAGTTCCATCTCTCGCCCCCAAGTACTCCACCTGCCTCTCCCGCTCCCTGTCCCAGCTGCTCTAACCCAGGCAGCCGGCCCCGTCGGCGGCCCCAGCACGGTGCAACCTACACCCTCCTCCGCTGCCACGGCCCCCAGCAGTAGTAGAAGTTCTGTGCACTGTGAGCAGGGCAGCAGGAATGGCCCGGTGCCTGCATCCGGCCCAGCGCCAACCCAGACCACTGCTAATGCTACTAGCTACTATTTCCTTTCCCCGGAAGCCACAGGGATACCGCCTGGCAGTATACTGGTCAACCCACACACAGGTTGGTATCCTCTGACCAGGGTTGGTCCCTCATACTGAGTTTATATAGGCTGGATTGGCCTGTCTTTATGTTGGGTTTGGTTTGATGTGATGTTTGGTCTTGGTTGGTTTTGATCAGAGTTCTTGTAAAACAAACTTCTTATTCAGTCTATTATTCTGTCTGCTCTCTTCTCTTGAACTGTTGCTTAAATTTCCACACACTACATATTTTGTTTTGGGTGAAATATATATCAAAGCTTTGTCAGATTGAATGAATGGACTAAGAGAGTTGGTAGACTGTGCATATATTTGATAAGTCTATTCATGGTTTAGTCATTATTCAGGATAAATGTTACTATAGCATAACTCCTATTGCCTAAATTATACTCAAATGTCCTATAGGCTCTACAGTGTATCTAAGTTTGTTGTTCTCCACATGCAGGCCAACCCTTTGTGAACCCTGATGGCAGTGCTGTGGTCTACAACCCCTCTATGACCGCACAGCAAGGTGGGAGGAGCCAGCAGCCCTTGGCCCCTCCCCTACCGCCCCCAGCCCCGCACCAGCCAGCCAATCAAGTCCTCTCCCAGGTCAGTCAATGAGTGGACAGCCCCTTCTTTCTCCAGAAAGCCCATTCACTCCCTGCATGCAGTCACTTCTCTAATCTACCCTTTCTCAATTAATATAGTAGATTAGAATCCATCATTCTTTAATTCATGCCTCCTAATTTCCCAGAGAACATTCATCTTCTACGAGCTAGGGCTGGGTGAATTATCTAGATATCAATCAGGTTAAATTAATTGTGATATTAAATCGGCCAGCTCTACTTCCTCCTATTCAATCACCTCTGACTTCTTAACTCATGGAGGTCTCTTTCTCTCTCTCTCTGTCTCCCTCTGTCTCTCTCTGGCTCTCTCTCTCTCTCTGTGGCTCTCTCTCTCTCTGTGGCTCTCTCTCTCTCTCTCTCTCTCTGTGGCTCTCTCTCTCTCTGTGGCTCTCTCTCTCTCTCTGTGTCTCTCTCTCTCTCTCTCTCTCTCTCTTCTCTCTCTCTCTCTCTCTCTCTCTCTCTCTCTCTCTCTGGGTGTCCTCTCTCTCTCTCTCTCTCTCTCTCTCTCTCTCTCTCTCTGTGGCTCTCTCTCTCTCTGTGTGTCTCTCTCTCTCTGTCTCTCTCTCTCTCTGTGTGTGTTCTGTTCTGTCCTTTTCTCCTTCAGCCGGTTCGGCATTTCCAGCCCTCTGCTCCACAGCCGATCCAGTACTCAACGATATCTTACCCTCCTCCTCAGTTCCTGCCACTCTCCTCTAACCAACACCAACAATACACTTTGGTATTATCAATCGTCTGTCTCCTCTAACCAACACCAACAATACACTTTGGTATTATCAATCGTCTGTCTCCTCTAACCAACACCAACAATACACTTTTGTATTATCAATCGTCTCTCTCCTCTAACCAACAATACACTTTGGTATTATCAATCCTCTGTCTCCTCTAACCAACACCAACAATACACTTTGGTATTATCAATCGTCTGTCTCCTCTAACCAACACCAACAATACACTTTGGTATTATCAATCGTCTCTCTCCTCTAACCAACACCAACAATACACTTTGGTATTATCAATCCTCTGTCTCCTCTAACCAACACCAACAATACACTTTGGTATTATCAATCGTCTGTCTCCTCTAACCAACACCAACAATACACTTTGGTATTATCAATCGTCTGTCTCCTCTAACCAACACCAACAATACACTTTGGTATTATCAATCGTCTGTCTCCTCTAACCAACACCAACAATACACTTTGGTATTATCAATCCTCTGTCTCCTCTAACCAACACCAACAATACACTTTGGTATTATCAATCGTCTGTCTCTTCTAACCAACACCAACAATACACTTTGGTATTATCAATCGTCTGTCTCCTCTAACCAACACCAACAATACACTTTGGTATTATCAATCGTCTGTCTCCTCTATCTCCCACCTGTCTGTTTCTGTCCAGTTGCCTCTTGAGTGCCTTGTCACTTAATTAGGTGGTCTTTTTATAAGACATGGTCATTACATTACGTGTGTCAATTCCCGAAGTTTATATTTTTATACAGAATCTTTGATGTAATGTCATCTTTATCTGGGCAGACTTTGTGATTGAAGAAGTGTTCAGCAGGAGCCTGGCTCATGTTCATTAGGCACAAAACAATTTGTTATTTTTTTTACCGGCAGTTTGCCAAATGGAAACCCAGAATGTTGTTTTCTGTTGCAAAATGTCTTGCAACTTAGTGCTTCTTGAACATGACCCAGTTAGGTAGAACATGACCCCGTTAGCCCTAGTACCCAGTTAGGTAGAACATGACCCCGTTAGCCCTAGTACCCAGTTAGGTAGAACATGACTCCGTTAGCCCTAGTACCCAGTTAGATAGATAGAACATGACCCCGTTAGCCCTAGTACCCAGTTAGATAGATAGAACATGACCCCGTTAGCCCTAGTACCCAGTTAGGTAGAACATGACCCCGTTAGCTCTAGTACCCAGTTAGGTAGAACATGACTCCGTTAGCCCTAGTACCCAGTGAGGTAGAACATGACCCCGTTAGCCCTAGTACCCAGTTAGGTAGAACATGACCCCGTTAGCCCTAGTACCCAGTTAGGTAGAACATGACTCCGTTAGCCCTAGTACCCAGTTAGATAGATAGAACATGACCCCGTTAGCCCTAGTACCCAGTTAGATAGATAGAACATGACCCCGTTAGCCCTAGTACCCAGTTAGGTAGAACATGACCCCGTTAGCTCTAGTACCCAGTTAGGTAGAACATGACTCCGTTAGCCCTAGTACCCAGTGAGGTAGAACATGACCCCGTTAGCCCTAGTACCCAGTTAGGTAGAACATGACCCCCGTTAGCCCTAGTACCCAGTTAGGTAGAACATGACCCCGTTAGCCCTAGTACCCAGTTAGGTAGAACATGACCCCGTTAGCCCTAGTACCCAGTTAGGTAGAACATGACCCCGTTAGCCCTAGTACCCAGTTAGGTAGAACATGACCCCGTTAGCCCTAGTACCCAGTTAGGTAGAACATGACCCCGTTAGCCCTAGTACCCAGTTAGGTAGAACATGACCCTGTTAGCTCTAGTACCCAGTTAGGTAGAACATGACCCCGTTAGCCCTAGTACCCAGTTAGGTAGAACATGACCCTGTTAGCTCTAGTACCCAGTTAGTTAGAACATGACCCCGTTAGCCCTAGTACCCAGTTAGGTAGAACATGACCCTGTTAGCTCTAGTACCCAGTTAGGTAGAACATGACCCCGTTAGCCCTAGTACCCAGTTAGGTAGAACATGACCCTGTTAGCCCTAGTACCCAGTTAGGTAGAACATGACCCCGTTAGCCCTAGTACCCAGTTAGGTAGAACATGACCCCGTTAGCCCTAGTACCCAGTTAGGTAGAACATGACCCTGTTAGCCCTAGTACCCAGTTAGGTAGAACATGACTCCGTTAGCCCTAGTACCCAGTTAGGTAGAACATGACCCCGTTAGCCCTAGTACCCAGTTAGGTAGAACATGACCCCGTTAGCCCTAGTACCCAGTTAGGTAGAACATGACCCCGTTAGCCCTAGTACCCAGTTAGGTAGAACATGACCCCGTTAGCCCTAGTACCCAGTTAGGTAGACTAGATCAGGCTGCATTCTGTTGTCCTCCTTTCCTGACCTGGTTTCACCCAACACATCAGTCTATCCCTCTATGGCTAATTAAAGCACTTACACTAACGGCTTTGAATAATTAATTAAATACCAGATGTTGAATAATCCATGAGTAGATACGCTAAACTTTCAACCTATTGCCACGGAACAGCTTGTCATAGATGACCTAGACTGAGGTAGCCTACTCTGGTGATATAAATAGTCCAGTTTGGGTTCCCTGGGTGGTGTTCGGCATTAAACGGTAGAAAACTGACTGAAACGGGGAGAGACTACTAGAACTTGTCTCCAGTAAGACACATTCGTTTTCTGTTTCAACATGTTTTGCTACAGTGTGCCCTAATAAATATGCTCTTGATGCACATTGCCTCTGGCCCTGTCTGTTGATTGATTGATTTTGATTAAGTTTATTTGACCATTTTAAAGGACATATACAGACAGTACATACATACATACATTTGAAACAGTACATACGTTTTCAGAATTGTTCTCTCCCCACAGCAAGATGGCCTGGCTGCTCAGTTCAGCCACATGAATCTGGTGCTCCAGGCGTCCAGCGACGGCACGAACGGTGGCCCCCACCCTGCCATGTACCCCTCGGGCCCTGTGGTGCTCCAGGCCCCCCTGCAGCACCAGCAGACTGGCTACATGGTGGCCCCTCCAGGGCAAACCCAGGCCTACCCCACCCCCGGTCCTGCACACCCTATGAGCCAGCCGCTCATGCAGCAACAGGGCTACGTGCAGCAGCAGGTAGGTTACAGTACAGTCCCTCACATTGTCAGTCAACAACGACAGCCACCATCTCATAGCGTCGGCTCCTTCAACTACCTACTCCTTTATGGTCTCAATCTCCTTCCATAATAGTCAATGATGTTATCCACCAGATTATCCAGATATGATCATAATCTAGATTGACCTCATATCCTCTATGAGGAAAGTGTTCAGATAGAGAGTTCCTCTGGTCACCTTTTCAATCTGCTTGTTCTCCTTCCTCTCCTGTAGATGCAGACATGTTACTGTGCTCCAGCCCAGTACCCCCACTCCCACTCCCACTCCCACTCCAACCAGCACTATCGCCCTATCAGCCCCGTGCACTACACCAGCCCCCAGAACCAGCCTCTACTCCAGCAGCCAGGTAAACACACACACACACACACGAGCGCAGAGTCATATACACACACACTGCTATCTCTCTGTGTTTGTCTTGATTAACTGAGATGTCTCCCTGTGAGCTGCAGTCTGCTTGCTGAGTGGGTGTTCTGTTTCTCTGCACCCTGGGGGGACATGGTTGTTATCTCCAGCCTCCAGCCTCCTCAACACAACACAGCTCCTTTTTACTGGTTGTTAGTTACAGCCTCCAGCCTCCTCAACACAACACCGCTCCTGTTTACTGGTTGTTAGTTACAGCCTCCTCAACACAACACAGCTCCTTTTTACTGGTTGTTAGTTACAGCCTCCAGCCTCCTCAACACAACACAGCTCCTTTTTACTGGTTGTTATCTACAGCCTCCAGCCTCCAGCCTCCTCAACACAACACAGCTCCTGTTTACTGGTTGTTATCTCCAGCCTCCAGCCTCCTCAACACAACACAGCTCCTTTTTACTGGTTGTTAGTTACAGCCTCCAGCCTCCTCAACACAACACAGCTCCTTTTTACTGGTTGTTATCTACAGCCTCCAGCCTCCTCAACACAACACAGCTCCTGTTTACTGGTTGTTATCTCCAGCCTCCAGCCTCCTCAACACAACACAGCTCCTTTTTACTGGTTGTTAGTTACAGCCTCCAGCCTCCTCAACACAACACAGCTCCTTTTTACTGGTTGTTATCTACAGCCTCCAGCCTCCAGCCTCCTCAACACAACACAGCTCCTTTTTACTGGTTGTTAGTTACAGCCTCCAGCCTCCTCAACACAACACAGCTCCTTTTTACTGGTTGTTATCTACAGCCTCCAGCCTCCAGCCTCCTCAACACAACACAGCTCCTGTTTACTGGTTGTTATCTACAGCCTCCAGCCTCCTCAACACAACACAGCTCCTTTTTACTGGTTGTCTTCTGCTGAAGGCAGCACTGTGGCCGTTTACTGGCTTTAATGTGGAGGAACGCTAGTCCATCGTCTGTTGGGGGGAATTAGGAGGCATCTCTTGGGACTGAGCAGAGGAACAAGTTAGTCTATATGCTGTTAGTCTACTCAGGCCAGTGCATAGACAGTGGACTATCCAGCCACAGTGAAAATAATGACTGTTTCCAAACCACTTGCATAAAGAAGTTGCTTCTGCAATTAGACATTTTTGCTGAAGCCTTCAGTATAAATTATCCTTGCGGGAATTGAACCTACAACCTTGCCACACTCTTAATGACTGAGCCATACTGGACCACAGGTGTTGGTGGGAAGACCCGGAGTCTGGACCGGACCACAGAGGTGTTTGTGATGGGGAAAACCTGGAAAGCAGAGTGGCAGAATGCGGGGCCGGGACGCTGTCTGAGAGTTCTATGATTCTCACAGTGAACCGGTCTCTTTTTCAGCCCCTCACTTCTCTTCAGTCTCTTTTTTTTCTCATCTTCTCCAGCGGTCTCTAGTTTCAGCTTCTCATCTCTTCTTCTCTCTTCTCCAGTGGTCTCTAGTTTCAGCCCCTCAACTCTACTCCTCATCTTCTCCAGCGGTCTCTAGTTTCAGCTTCTCAACTCTTCTCCTCTCTTCTCCAGCAGTCTCTAGTTTCAGCTTCTCAACTCTTCTCCTCTCTTCTCCAGCGGTCTCTAGTTTCAGCCCCTCAACTCTACTCCTCATCTTCTCCAGCGGTCTCTAGTTTCAGCTTCTCAACTCTTCTTCTCCTGTATTATTACAATGTGCCTTTTGGAAGCGTTCAGTCCTGCAGATTACAACGTGAAGCCACACTGACAATAGGCATAAAGCACCTGTTAGCAACTCCCTATTCCACATGCTGTACCAAGGCAATCTAATCCCATTCCCTGTGAGCTCAGGTGGAATGGTGTGTGTTTTGATAAAATGGGAGAGACATTTCATGCTTGGTTTGTGAGGAGGACGGTAAAATCTAGTGTCCTGCTCTTTCTCATATGAACCCATTCATCCTCTATTGGTCTCGTCTTGTTCCGCTTTTCTCATTGGGGCTATAGAATGTTCCAGCCACCTTGTACAAAAGGACGACGACGACTAATGCGGTCCCTGGATTTGTCTCTGAGGGGACGAGTCTGTCCAACGCTGCTGCCTGTAACCTTGACATTCAGTGTCCAGTATGGAAGAGGCACTACTGTTTCTAGCACCCTTTTTGCCTTTGCTAGCGAGCCTACAGTTTTCCCCTATTGCACATTGTGCGTCGTCTGTTTCTGTAATTTGCTCATGTGTTAAAGACTTTGTTTTCACAATGGGTTTTTTTCACACTACACTCTTCCTTCCAGGGATTCAATATTGTATGATTTTTCTCCATGTTTTAGATTTCTTCTCTACATTGTAATGGGTATTATAATACAAGTAAAGAGAAGATCATCTTCCAAGACAACAGAGGCTAATTTAAATGTTTTTCATTTCACTTTGGCTCATTCATGAATAGCCGTTGTGAATAGAATGAATGTCACCATTTTGTTTAAAAACAATGAATTCAAATGTTTTACATCGCACTAGATATTTGAATAGAAGTGAATTGTAATGTCCTAATGTTACTGTAGGTTACCAGGCTGGGATGCCAAATCAGCCCCAGAGCCCTCACCATCAGAGTGTGGTGACACATCAGAACCTAGTGAGCAACCAGCAGCACAGCAATATGGGAAATCACATGACGGGCTTCATGGTCCAATACCCTTCTATGCCATCTTATCAGGTACGTTCTTTTTAGCTTATGATTATTAAACTGTGTTTTTCTTTCAATTAAAGAATCTAACTGATTTGTGTCCCGTCCTTTACATTTACATGGTTTTATCCTCAATTGTCAACATCTTGCTCTTGTGAACATCTTTGCCTGGCTGAAAATCTAATAATTATATAAATCGAACCCTGAAATTAAAATAGTTTGAAGGTTGAATTGAAAAGGGATTTGAAAGGCAAAAGTCCCCTGTAGCTCAGTTGGTAGAGCATGGCGCTTGCAACGCCAGGGTTGTGGGTTCGTTTCCCACGGGGGGCCAGTATGAAAATGTATGCACTCACTAACTGTAAGTCGCTCTGGATAAGAGCGTCTGCTAAATGACTAAAATGTAAAGGGCCCCGACATTAGATGTCTATCAATTGTAAATGTAAAAAAAAAAGTCATTAAAATACTCGTGCTTAATCCTGTTTTTCCATATGATCTGTGTGTGTTATGCAGGTATCCATGCCCCAGGTCGCTCAGAACATGCCTCCACATCAGCAGACATGTCAACAGCCAATGCTGATCCAGAGTCATCCAAGCCCAGGTCCCATGGCCATGTCAGGCATGCAGGTCTACTACAGTGCCGCGCCACCAAATCAACACAGCAGTATGAGGTAGGCACTGAGGTGTTCTGTTCTTAGCGCCACCAAGATGGACTGTGTATTAAATAGTCTTAAGTGTTAGGTCTGTAATCTGATACTGTTTCATATTTCAAAGTAGTTCAACATTGATGAAAGCGGCGCAGATATCGGTGTACCAACCAACCTGCCAGAAACCATCCATAAAGGGAGTTATTGACGCTGTAGAAACCATCCATAAAGGGCCCTCCTAAAAGGGGTTATGACGCTGTAGAAAACCTCCTAAAGGGGGTTATTTCCTGTAGAACCATCCTAAAAGGGGTTATTGACCTGTAAAACTATCCATAAAGGGATTTTTTTGACGTTTGAACCATCCAAAAAAGGGGGTTATTTCGGTGTAGAACCCTCCTAAAGGGGGGTTAGACGCGTGAAAACCCTCCAAAAGGGAGTTATTTACGCTTTGAAACCATCCATAAAGGGGTTATTGACCTGTAAACCATCCTAAAAAGGGGTTTTTGACTTTTAGAAAAAAATCCATAAAGGGAGTTATTGACCTGTAGAAACCACCCATAAAGGGAGTTATTGACGCTGTAAAACCATCCATAAAGGGAGTTATTAAACGCTGTAGAAACCATCCATAAAGGGAGTTATTGACGCGTAAAAACCATCCATAAGGGATTTATTGACGCTGTAACCATCCATAAGGGATTTAATTACGTTAACCCATCCATAAAGGGAGTTATTACGGTGTAGAACCCATCCATAAAGGGAGTTATTGACGCTGTAGAAACCCATCCATAAAGGGAGTTATTGACGCTGTAGAAACCATCCATAAAGGGAGTTATTGACGCTGTAGAAACCATCCATAAAGGGAGTTATTGACGCTGTAGAAACCATCCATAAAGGGAGTTATTGACGCTGTAGAAACCATCCATAAAGGGAGTTATTGACGCTGTAGAAACCATCCATAAAGGGAGTTATTGACGCTGTAGAAACCATCCATAAAGGGAGTTATTGACGCTGTAGAAACCATCCATAAAGGGAGTTATTGACGCTGTAGAAACCATCCATAAAGGGAGTTATTGACGCTGTAGAACCCATCCATAAAGGGAGTTATTGACGGTGTAGAACCCATCCATAAAGGGAGTTATTGACGGTGTAGAACCCATCCATAAAGGGAGTTATTGACGCTGTAGAAACCATCCATAAAGGGAGTTATTGACGCTGTAGAAACCATCCATAAAGGGAGTTATTGACGCTGTAGAAACCATCCATAAAGGGAGTTATTGACGCTGTAGAAACCATCCATAAAGGGAGTTATTGACGCTGTAGAAACCATCCATAAAGGGAGTTATTGACGCTGTAGAAACCATCCATAAAGGGAGTTATTGACGGTGTAGAAACCAGTCCTCATGGGAGCTGAGGTGTTCTATTAAGACTGGGCTGCACTGTACCTGTATCATCTGCCTTATAAATCATCCTCCAGACTGCCCTACTAACAGAAACTTTACTGAGCTGAACGTGACCTCCAGACTGCCCTACTAACATAAACTTTACTGAGCTGAAAGTGTCCTCCAGACTGCCCTACTAACAGAAACTTTACTGAGCTGAAAGTGTCCTCCAGACTGCCCTACTAACAGAAACTTTACTGAGCTGAACGTGTCCTCCAGACTGCCCTACTAACATAAACTTTACTGAGCTGAACGTGACCTCCAGACTGCCCTACTAACATAAACTTTACTGAGCTGAAAGTGTCCTCCAGACTGCCCTACTAACAGAAACTTTACTGAGCTGAAAGTGTCCTCCAGACTGCCCTACTAACAGAAACTTTACTGAGCTGAAAGTGTCCTCCAGACTGCCCTACTAACAGAAACTTTACTGAGCTGAAAGTGTCCTCCAGACTGCCCTACTAACAGAAACTTTACTGAGCTGAAAGTGTCCTCCAGACTGCCCTACTAACAGAAACTTTACTGAGCTGAACGTGACCTCCAGACTGCCCTACTAACAGAAACTTTACTGAGCTGAAAGTGTCCCCCCTCCCTGTTGTACTGGTTCCGCTATACCGCCCCACAGCATCAGGACTGTCAGTGTTAATATAAAGTGGCCCTATATAGTGCACTACCTTTGACCAGAGCCCTATGGGTACAACACCAAGCAGCTGTAATATAATTATTCAGTCTGATTACAGAGTGATTCAGGCCATAAAGAGGAAATGAATGACATGTTTGTTTTCTTTCGGACTACCACCATTAATCAGAGATCATTAACAGACCTTTAACACACAAGACTATTTCAGAAATGTTTTTAAGGCTCTTCAAGGGAGACTTTGAGAGCAAATGTAAAGTGTCTGCCTGCTGGTGCTATCAATGTATTTAATGAATGCCCCAGAGCTCCATAAATATATTGACTAAGCAAGTGTGTCTGTCTCCACAGTTCGTCGGTGGGTTTCTTACCTCCTCCGGGGTCAGAGCAGATGCAGTTTCCCCGGGCCTCGTCTCCGTGTGGAACCCAGCAGCTACCAGGACAGCAGTGCACAGGTAACATTACTTCTCCTCTCAGCAACACCAAGGTCGTGGGTTGAATTCCCACCGGGATCACACACATACTAAAATAGATACCCTTCGGTTTTGAAAGACTCTTGTGTATAAGATTTGATACCATTTTTAAATGCTTTTCCTACCTTGTGTATAAGATTTGATACCATTTTTAAATGCTTTTCCTACCTTGTGTATAAGATTTGATACCAATAAAATGCTTTTCCTACCTTGTGTATAAAATTTGATACCAATAAAATGGTGTGTTGCTTGTATGTCCATCTGAGGATGGAAACATTCCTTTGACCAAAAACGAAGATGTCAGATTTTCACGTTGTTGTTGTAACGGTGTGGCTGTTTGTCTGTAGGTGTGCATCCCGGTCCTCACAGTGGTGGTATGGTGATGATGCAGCTGACCCTGCCCCCTAACCATCAGCCCAGAGCACACTCCCCTCCACAGTGGAAACACAACAGATACTACAGTCTGGATCACACACGCAGCCAGAGGTCCTCAGAACAACTAGACAACTCTCAGGTAACTACTCAGAACAACTAGACAACTCTCAGGTAACTACTCAGAACAACTAGACAACTCTCAGGTAACTACTCAGAACAACTAGACAACTCTCAGGTAACTACTCAGAACAACTAGACAACTCTCAGGTAACTACTCAGAACAACTAGACAACTCTCAGGTAACTACTCAGAACAACTAGACAACTCTCAGGTAACTACTCAGAACAACTAGACAACTCTCAGGTAAGTACTCAGAACAACTAGACAACTCTCAGGTAACTACTCAGAACAACTAGACAACTCTCAGGTAACTACTCAGAACAACTAGACAACTCTCAGGTAACTACTCAGAACAACTAGACAGCTAACAGGTAACTACTCAGAACAACTAGACAGCTAACAGGTAACTACTCAGAACAACTAGACAACAGGGAACTACTGAGCTGCTGGTAATTAGACATGACCAGTCAGGAGTAATATTGCGTGTTAGAGAGAGGAAAGGCTCTGTACAGAATCACTGATCTACAAATAATCTTGCATCCCAAATAACTGCTCATTGTATTATCAAGATCCGCGACTCCGAGCAGCGAGTCTTGCTCAGGCCTGTCCCCTCGAACTAGGGATACACTTTCCTCCTGATAGACTACATTAAAGGGTTTCTATGTCCCCTCTTTGACCTCCACCTCCCTGTCCCTCCTCTCTGCCTCTGTCCTATAGAACGGTCTCCAGCTGGGCAGCCCCAGCACCCCTCCGGCCCAGCCCCCAGCCCCAACCCATCAACTCACCTCCATAAAGAACCTCCGCTCTGCTGGCCTCACCCCCATCCCCATAATGACCCAGTTCCCCAGACCCTTTGGCCCAGGGCAGGCAGGGGACGGCAGGTACCCATTACTGGGTCAACCCCTCCAGTACAACCCCGCCATCAGGCCTCCGCTGATCCACGGGACACACCACATGATCCCCAACCCCCACCACGTGAGTCCTCAGAGTACACACACACACTTGACAAAGGAGGTTGTTTTGTACAATGAAATGTACCAAATCTGTATTAATGTTTTTTCACGATTTACCCGCTGAGTGAAAATTGAAGATTAAAAGATAAAAAAGTAGAAAATAAAAGCTCAGTCCAGTCAACATGTCTGCCTCCTTTTCCCTCAGGGCCCAATGGGAATCCGGCATCATGGGGGGCGAGGGAGGAGACCCCCGCCCAGGAAGTCATCTGATCTTAGTGTAGGTGACCCAGGTAATAGAGAGGAGAGACCATGACCCAGGTACTAGACAGACCATGACCCAGGTACTAGACAGACCATGACCCAGGTACTAGACAGACCATGACCCAGGTACTAGACAGACCATGACCCAGGTACTAGAGAGGAGAGACCATGACCCAGGTACTAGAGAGGAGAGACCATGACCCTGACCCAGGTACTAGACAGACCATGACCCAGGTACTAGACAGACCATGACCCAGGTACTAGAGAGGGGAGACCATGACCCAGGTACTAGAGAGGAGAGACCATGACCCAGGTACTAGAGAGGACAGACCATGACCCAGGTACTAGAGAGGGGAGACCATGACCCAGGTACTAGAGAGGACAGACCATGACCCAGGCTCTAGAGAGGAGAGACCATGACCCTGACCCAGGTACTAGAGAGGAGAGACCATGACCCAGGTACTAGAGAGGAGAGACCACTCTAGAGTAGAAGTCCTTACTCAGTGATCACATCTAGGATAGAAGTCCTATAGCATTAGAATCTATAGAACGGGCCTCCCCATTCAAGTCAATGATTGCATAATGGGTGGACTGGCAGCCATTGTGAGTGTACCCATGACTTTACTAGTCAAATTGCCAGGGTTAGAGGTTCCAACCCCTTTCTATAGATTATATTTCAATGAGAAGTCCTAATACAAAGATGTCACTAGTTTAGAAGTACTATCAAATTGATGTTGGGTTTGCCCTCATATTGTGCTAACTGAACATGGCCTTTTTATTCAAGTATCTTTTTTTGACTCAGTGTAATTTTTTATATACTGGGTTTTTTCTGCATAACAAAGTATTGGGCGGGCCGCTAAGTGTTGTTGTTTTTTAGGGCAGCTTATGTCCAAACAGTAAATAATAATGAATAAAACATTTGGGGAAAATAATTTTCAGAATTGAAAAAGGTTTTCAGTGTTAACTTAAAGTGGAACTGACAGCGTTTTAACTACTTTGCTGATATGAAACAGACACTCATAATATCGGTCAAAAATATCAAATTCCCAGTTTATGCTACAAAACCAACTTTATAAGAGGTTTTAAAAATAGGTTCTGTTTCACTCAACATTCCATGACATAGAGTAAGGCATTGTTGGCAGAATACATGGATGCAGTTCAATTCATGATTTAATATAGCGAATTCACCAATACCTTTCTTGGTAGTCCAAAACATATTGCTATCAGGTTGTAAATCACAGCTGGCCTGGTACATTGTTTGCTGCCTCCACCCATTCAAGATGCACTGTTTCAGTTTCAATGACTATATTTTTGAGAAGAAAAAAACACGAATGAATGTAACTAAGGCTGGGAATGTCAATACAATCAAACTAGCAAGGGCAATGATCACAAGTGCAGTCATAACGTGGCTAATAGGCTAGCGTATCTATTTATTTAGCTATTTATTTAGCAAGCTAAAGACATGGAGCCTAATGTTAGTTAGCTAGCTAGCTGCTGGGAGGATGTCATGTCATTGGACGAGTGCGCGAGTGGCCGACTTCTTCCCATCATATCGTTTTTCGGTGGCTACAGCCTAAGATAAAGGTGTAATTTGGTTAGCTAGCAAGAAATGTAAATCGCTTTGCTAGCTAGCTATGCTGAACTTGAATGACTGTTATCCACAGTTAGCGTGCATATCTCTTAGTTGTCAACCAAAGGTATTTGGCATCGATCAAATGGGCAGGCAGGCAGTTCCCAAAAATGTGGTTTGGGACAAGCATGCATTGGCAGGCAAGCTGCAGAAGGGCAAGCAGCCTACTATTCCCCATCGGGTATCAGTGCAACTACAAGCTGAAAAAGTTTGAGAGGGTTTAATCTACTCTTGCCTCCTTAGATTTTAGCTCATCTCGCTCTTGCTAACATTAGTTGTTGATCTTAGGGAGGGTGAGAGCCTACCTGTTCATGGTTGTTTGATCAATAGGACTGTGACGTTCCCAAATGTAAGAGGACACCCGTGGTATTTGCAGATATCCATTCAGGTGTATTTTGTGGTATGTAAATGATGGCACGGCTGCTTTCCCACTCTATATTGATATAGAATTTTAACAAATACCTTACTCTACATCATTCCCAAACATTCTATGAAAGTGTGAAAATGACCATATGTAAGTGCTTGTCAGAGAACAATAATACACATTTTAAAAGGCGCCATTCTTCCTGGGGGTGTGTATGATCAGATTTCATGTTGCTAAAACGCTGTCAGTTCCCCTTTAAACGACTAAAACCAGATATTAAATATGTAGAACATATAATGGACCTATATATTTTTTAATAAGATTATCTTTGAGAACTAACAATCACCTAAATAAAAGCTAGACAGGGAGAATAAAAAGTTCTAAAGAATTATGCATTCAGGAGTTTTGCCATGGCATGAGGCCCCCATTTGATTTTGTTATGTTTGAGTCACTCAGATAGCATAAGCCTTGGCAAAATGTGTAGAATTGCAGGAAATTAGCTTTAAAACAACATTTTGTCACTGCGGCCAACAGGAAGGCCTAAAAAATGTCCGTTTGGTGACCGCACCATGGGCCCACGCCTCCACCACGCCCACCACCTAAGCCCCATTTTGATCCAGAAAAAACCCTGTATATGTGATTTTATTATGTAACCTTGAGTTTGGTTCAGTTTATTTTGCAGTAGAAATAATAGTGGTCTGTGAATGGATCCCTGTGGCTCAACACACATGAGTCTTACAACAATTTTTCAAATGTAACATTTATGAACAATTTAGTTGAATGATTTTTTTTGGGATCTATCATAAACCACTTGCTGTGCACTGTAGGACCAGACAGGAGTGTTTTTTTTTTTTCCACCTAAGAATCATCATTTATAGACTAGGCAGAATTCACACCTGGCTAAATAAATAAACAGGTGTACCTAGGTGTTAGGAATATAATGATTCTCTCACATACTGGATTGGATTCCACACAGCAAGATTTTATTTTAGAAGGAAAAAATTATCGTTATTGAATTCACTCTAGTAGTGTGATTTTGATTTGGTCCACAATTACTCCCCCAAAAACAACTAAGCTAAATGTCAGCCCTGTTACCTCTAGAGATAATCTGATTCTGTTGGTCTCCATGCAGTAAATGGTCAAAGAGAATGTGTTGTCAATAACTTTACCTGGTGAATCAATCAATCAATTCTCTCTCCGTGCAGTGAATGGTGGAGTCCTGGAGGTGCTGGAGCTACCAGAGGGCATCAGCCGTACAGAGGCAGACTCTCTCCTGGGGGAACTGTACAGAGGAGGGGCCATGATCAAGTGGTTGTCTGAGACCCAACACCAGAACCAGTCTGGTGGAACCCTGCTGAAGCACTGTGGGGCTGGGGGGGACGGTAGTAACGGTGACACAAACACTGACACTACTTCCTGTTCCAAACCCCCCAGTAGTAACCATAACGACCTGGCGTCCACCTACACCATCCTGGCTGTGTTTCCCTCCAGGTACGCAGCTCAGAATGCCTTGCTCAGACACAGTGGCCCTGCTGGCTCTGGGCCCCTCCTAACCACCACCACCACGTTCAAACTCAGAACTAGCAAGAGACACTCTGATGAGTTTCACAACCTGGAGAGGACCAGCTCTCAATAGCAGGGCGGGGTGCTGTAGCCAGCCAATCTGGAGAGGACCAGCTTTCAATAGCAGGGTGGGGTGCTATGTTACTAGGGGCCCTGTGAGGTTGTTCTAGGGGCCCCCACGGGGTGCTATGAGGGGCTACCCATCATGGGCCCTCGCCATGGCCCCTCCACCACCTCCTCCACTGCTGCCATCGGCCGACCAACCAGACACCCTTCTTCTGCCAGCATCACTCACTAGTCTCCATTACCCACCGGACTGACAGACAGATTGATGGAGTATCACTATGTTGGCATTATCTAAGGTTTTTCACTTGAGTTGTAGAAGCTTTCTGGAAATGTGTTAATGCCTTTGCAATGTTCTCCACTTCTTGAGATGAAAATGAAAACATGTAAAAATTATCCGGCAACACACCAATGTTGAAACACAAGAGAAAAACCCCCACAAGAATGACGTTCCAAAAGTGTAATATTATTTTATTTGCAGACAACATAGCAAAGAGCAGCATGTTTTAGTTTATTTTAATTTTATTTAGTTTTATATTTGTTAAAAGCTGCAGTCAGAACACCCAAAGCAGGGTTGTACTCATTCATTACAAGAGGAGAATATACCAAGTGTCTCTCTTTGGGCCGGATTCAGATTTGAGATCTGCAACGCATAACTCAGATCTCAAGTTAAAAATGACCCAGTGACATAAATGCTTGATTTACACGAAAGCCTGAGTTGTGCGGACGTATAATATCAAGTTAGGATTCGGCCCGTAGAGTCAGTCTCCTGTTAGTCAGTTGGTGTGCTACGTCAACAGCAGATTAGAGTCTTCTAGAACAAGGTTGTGTCCCGAATGGCACCCTATTCCCTACATAGTGCACTACTTTTGACCAGAGCCCTATGGGACCTGGTCAAAAGTAGTGCACTATATAGAGAATGGGGTGTCATTTGAGACTGAACCCAACAGAATGGTTTTGTTTTTGTGCCTTCTAACTTGACTCTGGTGCCACTATCCATCTCTCTCTCAAACACCCATCAATACAAGACACCCCATCCAATTCTATTTCAACAAACTCTGACCCACCCCATTCATTCACAATAAATCATCAATGATATGGTAGCTAAATTATTCTGTCACTTTTCTACACAGTAAATGGTATCTTTGCACTGGCACAAGGGAGAAAGATGTTTGTTTTGAAAGTGTTTTTTTTATTTTTTGGGGGTTTATCGTTTTTTCTTTTGGTTTTTAAGTTAAAAGATGAGCAGAAGCTTTGGTGCATCTCATTGATGGTATATTCTATTTTAGCTATTCTAAAATGAATGGCCTTCTCTCCAACCTCCTCCAACCCTCTGTTCAGTCTACCCATTCCCTAGTTCCGTCTCTATTCCCCTATATCGTGCATTACTTATGGCCAGAACCCTATGGGCCCTGGTTAAAAGTAGTGCACTATATAGGGAATAGGGTGGCCAGGCCAAATTCCTTTCATATTTAATTCATGTTTTACCGTTTGTATCCCATCAGAAGGGTCATTGGAAAAATCGTTCACAACAATGCCCCAACCCCATCCTACCCAAAAATATGTATATTTAAGATGGTTGTTGATGGTGGATTCAGGAGAGATGTACAGTCTGCTGGTGCAAGATGTTTTTATTTCTGTTTGAAACCAATAAATGTTTACAACATAACGATGTGCTTTGTCATTTCAACACTCCTGTCATTTTACAAAATGAGATTGATTCCGCTTCCTTCATTACTACCTTGGACATATAGTCAACTACCAAAATGAAAGGAAATGGCTAAATAAAGTGCATTCATAGGGCGTTGGGCCACCATGAGCCAGAACAGCTTCAACGCACCTTGGCGTAAGATTCTAGAAGCGGCGAACTCTGTCGGAGGGATGAGACGCCATTCTTCCACGATAAATTCCATCAGTTGCTGTTTTGTTGAAGGTGATGGAAAATGCTGTCTCAATCACCGCTCCAGATTCTCCCATAAGTGTTCAATTGGGTTGATATCTGGTGACAGACGGCCATGGCATATGGTTTTCATGCTCATCAAACCATTCCGTGACCACTTGTGCACGGGGGCATTGTCAGCCTATGGAGGCATAGCCATGGTAACCAAAATAATGGCCTACCAGCATTTTTATACACGTTAGCATAACTCAGGAACCACACCTGCGTGGAAGCACCTGCTTTCAATATACTTTGTATCCCTCATTTACGCAAAAGTGTTTTCATTATTTTGGCAGTTACCTGTATAATTGATCATATTAGCTACAGTAATTGTTTTATTGTATAAAATATGTTATTAAACGTGTTGTTCTCCATAGGATATCATCATCCAACGTAAAATATAAAAGCCCCAGAGAAATGCCACCTTCAATATTCTGGTTATGATCCTGCAGAGTATCTGTAATATATTTTTGTTTAAGTTTGCCGATCGTGTGAACCGAATTTCAAGATTGGAGCGACAGTGCCCCCTGGAGGATTTGTGTTATTATCGCATTTTCACTACCAATGGAGTAGACCATAGGCCCAACTCAGCAGAAAATCTGTCTCCCTCCAGCAGATGGCGTATGTTCATTGTTTCAGGGCGGCAGGTAGCCTAGCGGTAAGAGCGTTGGGCCAGTAACCGAAAGGTCGCTAGTTCGAATACTTGAGCTGACAAGATGAAAAATCTGTCGATGTGCCCTTGAGCAAGGCACGTAACCCTAATTTGCTCCAGGGGTGCCGTATTACTATGGCTGACCTTGTAAAACAACACATTTCACTGCACCTATCTGGTGTATGTGACAATAAAACATATATATTTTTAAAGTATGTTCATTGTTTCCCACATCAAGCAAGGAGTTTTTGTATGGAGCAGTGGCAAACAAAACAAAAAAAGTGGGATGCATGCCAGCAAAGCCACTACACAACACTAAACATTACATTACTTGCACTATAACGGTGACAAACGGTGCCCACAAACTGTTAGGGCCTACATAAAGCTGTCCCAACACCTTACCACTGCTACACCTGGCTATCAGCGGAGCCTTGTCTGGCAGCAAAACAGTTAATTCAGCCTAATTTACTGCCTTAAAAAAAAAACATAGCTGATATGGCTGACTTGCTTAAACAAATGTGGTTTCTACTGACAATTGAGATGTACAATCTATGGCATAGTTGGACGACAAGGGGATAAGAGGCAATCTGTAATTACAATTAAGACATTCATGAGCGAGCTAGGACGGACATAGTCAATATAACTATTTGTACTTTTGAAATGTACAGTGACAGAATTCAAAACATGGGCCGTTCTTACAGTTTTCTCCCTGTACACCAAGTCAGAACTGTAGGATAAATAAAGGGGGCATATTAGCAGACAATGAAAGCTCTTACAATATTCAATTACATTTCTCTAAAACTGGTTATAGGCTACATGTGCACCACCAAGTCAGAACAGTAGGTGAAATTAAGAGGGGAAAATAGACCAAATGATTAGGGTGAGGCACATGGGCTACTAACAGCTTACTACACAACATACACTTAGTATTATTTTCTTAGCTACAGTATACATATCTCCCTGGCATATTACATCATTTATGCAGCAGCATACAAGACATTTCTGGACTCACTTTGTTGTGCTCACTTGAACAGGAAAGTGGTGCGACGGTCCTTCGTGGGCAAATTTTGTCATCAAACTTTGTCATCAAAGTCTGGCATTCTCTGGATTTATGGTGCTTTCAAGACAACTGGGAACTCGGAAAAGGTTGAATCATGATGACGTCAGTGATCTTCAGGCCGTAGCTCTAGAAAGAGGCCCGAGTTCCGGATGTACAATTTCGAGTTGGATGACGTTCAAAACTTTTTTTCCCAGTCGGAGCTCGTTTTTCCCAAGTTCCCAGTTGTCTTGAACTCACTGAAGTCAGATTTTCGCAGTTCCGAGTTAACAGTTGTTTTAAGTGCAGCACAAATCATGCTTCATTGACAGCATGGCCAATGTTGAATGTTTAGAATGTTTAGAATTTTCGAGCTCTACCCTTAGACTTGGCAGTGACGTAGTGTCCCCATGAGTGACAGAACACTGAGCCAATCACGGCGCAACTAGAGAACATTTCCAACACCTACACTCAGTATTTTCCGCTGGCTGCCCCACCACCACAGAAAGCACTGAGCTAGGCTGAAACACCTGCATTTTGGAGCTGCCTTACTCAAGAAAACAACAAAGAGACCATGTTTGTATGCAGCTTTATTAACTCAATGTTTTTTTATACATAGTTTGCAAACTGATATGTGACATGTATTAATGCCAAAATAACATGCAAAACAGGCAAAAATGTGGGGGCCCACCTGCCCTGAATGACGGATAGCCACTGGTATAGAGGTATGCGCCTACACATGCAGACCGTACTTGCTACAGAGTTACAGAAAGCTAAACCAACAACTACATAAACTGAAATTGGATACATTGTAAACGCAGGTCCAACGAGGACAAAACTTAGCTAGCTAGCGTTGATTTGTTTTTGCAGAGAAATTTTTTTGTAGCATCTGATGATGACCTAATGTGGTGAGTGATGAACATGAATTTATCTGGTCCCTACTGTTGCAGTCATGACGCAGGTGGCGTTATGCGGTCAAATCCTCCCACATGTTTCTAGTATGACAAGCTGTTTTCAGCAAAAAAAACATGTCTTCGGTTGTCATATATTTGCAGGAATGCTAACAACAAACTATTTAGCTAGCTTCTAGCGTAGTGTTTGATATGAAATACGATCTCCTCGTAATTAACCGTTCAGGGGCGTCCTGATGAGAAGGCAAGCTTTTCTAACTATGTTATTGATTTATCCAAATGAATGACAAAAAAGCTAGCTTGCTACTTTGCTGTTATTCTGGCTGCTGACTAAGGTCGTAGCTAGCTGGCTAGCTAGCAAACAAGGGATAATAACGTTATGGCAACGGAACATAAAGAACGAACGATTGGGTCGCGTCTCTAGCAACCAAAATGTGAGAAAGTATGAATTCGCTTATACAAATGAAAATGTCAACGAAAAATAAGTATTTCCACCGGTAAATGTGTGCTTTCATATTGTTTTCTTTGGCAACTGTGGTATAAGCGGGATAAACGCCTCCGTTCTATACATTACCTTGGAAAAACGAACTCCGCTAAGGGACTCATCGTCCATTATTTCCAAGGTAATGTACAGCACCGAGGCGTTTATCCCTTACGTATCCATCAATCCAAAGAAAGGATAGGCGGGAGCTAGACAGCCCGCGGTGCCGTTTTGTCATGCAGCGTTCAAAACAACTGTGAACTCGGGGAAAAAACGAGCTCCGTCTGGGAAAAATCGATTTGAACAGTCATCCAACTCGGAATTCCTACTCGGGAACTCGGGACTCTTTCTAGAGCTCCGAATTTCCGACCTGAATATCACTGACGTCATGATTTGACCTCGTATTTTTCCGAGTCCCTGTTGTTTTGAACGCGGCGTCAGTATATCCGTAATCTGAGTTGACGCAGGTCTAGGATCCGGGTATCCACCTGAAATCCATAAAGCAGAAATCGCTAAACTGACCTTAGATCAGGCATTCTACTCCAAGTAACACATCGAAACCGAAACAAGGTAAATGCGTTTGGTTTTAAAGGCAGTCGAAAGAAACTACAACTAGCTCTGAGTTTAAATTAGTGTGGTTTAAACTGAAACGGGTAAATTCTACTTCATGCATGATAGGTCTAGTTTTCTGCAAAGTTATGGCATGATTTAAAATCATTCAGAGTAGTTTTTGGTAATTTGTTTTAACCTCCACAGCATTATATTACTTCAGTTCAAAGAGAATACGTTTTAAGAAGAGATACAAATAATTCAGATTGTAAAAGTTTTATCTTTTTAGTCATAGATAGGCTAAACGTCCACATGACCGTTGTTTATTTGCACACCATTCATTCTAGGTGATGAACCTCTCAGAGGAGAACAGGACAGTCGTGGTCTCCGGTGTGCCAGACACACTGTCCATGAGTCGCATGGCAGACAAACTGTTCATTCACTTCCAGAGCTCCAGAAGCCACGGAGGAGATGTAGAAGACATCAAGTACCCGAGCAGCTTCAAGGGGGTGGCTTTTGTTACATTTGAAAACACCAGAGGTAATAGAAATACTCTATAACAAAGTTTCCTTAGCTGGGATGTAGTTTTGTTACATATATGTCTATAGATCATAACAACAACAAACATATTCTAACAGATGCCGAGATGGTGATCAGAAATGAACAGATAATGTGTGATAAGGAGTTCCCTCAAGACTATCCTCTCACTGTATACAAATTCACCCAAGATGTGAGTACAGTCAAGTAATCAAATCAATCAACAGTAAATCAATACAGTACATGTTTCCATTCCTGCATGGGAAGGAACAGTAGCACACAGTGCAGTACACATACTGACTAATCCTATATTCACCATGCTATAGGTGTTGTTCTACATTAACGCTAAAGTGAACCTGTCAATCTTCGGTGACAAGGAACAGCAGGAGACAGTGATCCAAAGCCTGCAGTCTGCTCACAGGTCAGTGAGGATCTGCCCTCTACCCAGCCAGGAGAGTAACGCTTCAGTGGAGGGACCCTTCACTGCCGTCAGGGCCCTGAGAGAGGACCTGCTCCAGCGGGCCGCTGCCAGCAGCAGTCACATAGGGGAGAAGCACAGGGCTCCATCGACCTCTGGTTACTCCCTGACCTCAGTGGCAGCAGGGAATTGGGTATCCAAGTTCAGCAGCAGTCATGCCTTGGAGAAGCACAGAGCTCCATCTCCATCAAGCCATGATCATTCCCTGAGCTCTGTGGTAGCAGGGAGTAGGTCTTCCAGGGTCAGATCTGGTGATGGTGCTGAGGTGGACTTCCAGGTCAGCAGTTACACCTGGGAGAAGAAGCACGGGGCAGCTCCATCAAGCCATGATCATTCCCTGAGCTCTGTGGTAGCAGGGAGTAGGTCTTCCAGGGTCAGATCTGGTGATGGTGCTGAGGTGGACTTCCAGGTCAGCAGTTACACCTGGGAGAAGAAGCACGGGGCAGCTCCATCAAGCTCTGATCATTCTCTGTCAAGCTCTGTGGCAGGAGAGAGTGGGGTTTCCAATAGAAGTCAAACCTGGGAAAAGCACCACTGGGCAGCTCCATCAAGCTCTGATCATTCTCCGAGCTCCATGGTATCAGGGAGTGGGGAATCCAAGGTCGTCAGCAGCAGTCACACATTAGAGAAGTACATCGCTCCGTCAAGCCATGATCGATCTCTGTCAAGCCCAGTGGCAGCAGGGACTTCCAAGGTCAGCTCAGGTGGTGATGTTGATGAGGAAGAGGAGTCCACGTGGGTGGACACAAACATATTTCTTTACATTCAGAGATTTTATAAAGACGAGTTTGACCAATGTTTGAGGAACCACGGTGTGTCGGCTGTGTTCAATGACAATGATGTGGCCGACCTGACTCTGATATCGCTGAGAGGAGGACGCAACAGCAAGGGTCTCTCTGAAGTCCAACTGACCATATCAGAGCTGACTGATCTGGTCACTGTTTGGCAGTCAACCCTGAGAATCCACACTATAGACTATCGAAGGCAGGACGTGCATGAGATGAAGAGGCTGCTGCAAATCTGTGCCGAGGTAAACAACTTTAAAGACGTTCTGTACGTGCAGAAGGAGTTTAGTGTCCTGGTCATCGGTCCCTCTATGACCAGTCATCTCTTTAGTGAATGTGTGAAGGATAGAATGCATCAACTGGATGAAGAGGACGTCTTGTAGTGGTAGTCAAAATGTGAATCCATTTACCATTCTGCAATAGCAGCTAGTGCATGAAGAGCATTTTTGCGCGATATATATTGATTGCACTGTGAGACGTTTTCAAAAGATCTTGTGACAACTAAATAGTATTGAGTTTGTGTTATTTGCTGTTTCTCAACAAGGATGCTGTTATGTGTCAAGCCAGCCTTGAGGGTAGAAACAAGATAATGGACTAGAAACTACATGTTAATGAGACAACAATAGAGGGTGCTGTTGTACCGAATATACACTATTTCTTCCATGAAATAAATGATTTCTGGTTTCTGTGTGTCAATCCACATGTGTGTTTATTTGGGGCTGTAAGCTGCCCCCTCAGCTGAGATCATGCATGGGACAAATTAACTATGTCATCAAGGTCAATATCTCCCATCCCAACCTCATGATTAACTATTATTTTTTTTTTTTTTTGCCATTTAGCAGACGCTCTTATCCAGAGCTAGTGAGTGCATACATATATTTGATTTTTTTCATACAGGCCCCCCGTGGGAATTGAACCCACAACCCTGGCGTTGCAAGCGCCATGCTCTACCAACTGAGCTACACAGGACCCCGACAAATTAACTATGTCATCAAGGCCAATATCTCCTGTCCCACCCTCATGATTTAACTATGTCATCAAGGCCAATATCTCCCATCCCAACCTCATGATTTAACTATGTCATCAAGGCCAATATCTCTCATCCCACCCTCATGATTTTGGGTGGTTCTCCTCTCATGCAACAGGCCGGGTCTCTGTCCCTTTTGACATTTATGTGGTCATCTGGTATCGGAGCACATTATGGAACAGGTCGGCAACAGGCGGCCAAAACTTTGATTTATTAATTTTTTACTGGATTTTTATTTTTTGTCAAAAAATACTAAAATCACCAAGAATTCAGCAAAAAAAACGATTTCATTGAGAAAATCAGTTAAAAAGAGATGTGATTGTGTCTCAATGTAATCAAGGTATGAAATTGTTGTTATTTTCAAATACAACCTCTTTTTGGGCTTAATTGTGGTCAATTTGCAGTGTACAAATTATTATAATTACGTTCCGGCCCGACCATCCGCTCTGACAAAAATCGTCCGCTGCTGAATCTAGTTGCCTACACCTGTCATATAAGATCAACTATGATTTGCTTTCATACACAAATGGCATCTTCTTCCAAACAGGGGTTCACCCAATTATGATTTAATGGCCAGACAGGCTAAAGTCTGCAAACACAATAGTATCTTGTTTGTCATTCTACACCAAGCTTTGTTCTTGATACAATGTATTCCCCTCACACAGCAGCTTAATTAGTTTTTGGCAACTGTTCTTTAATCATGTTGCTACTGGCGATTTTCATTCATTTCCAATTGAAGCTGTCCCTTAATTAAGAAGACATAAGCTCATAATTAATACCTCAGAAATCATTCAAATAGCAGATGCTGACCCAGCAATCCTCATTATTACTGCAGTTGATTAATAGGTATCTTTATCAGGCATATTCAGTACATTATTTGTAGTATTTTAACGTGTGGGTAATAAAACATACTCTACACAAACGTGTCTGTTACAGTGTGGTAGAAACATGACCACAAGGCTGGGAGGACCTGTCATCTGAGACTAAGGTGTTTTAAAAACTACTGTAACCTGCTCCAACTCCTCTGCTGTCTGAAACTACTCCAACCTGCTGTCTGAAACTACTCCAACCTGCTGTCTGATACTACTCCAACCTGCTGTCTGAAACTACTCCAACCTGCTGTCTGAAACTACTCCAACCTGCTGTCTGAAACTACTCCAACCTGCTGTCTGAAACTGCTCTAACCTGCTGTCTGAAACTACTCCAACCTGCTGTCTGAAACTACTCCAACCTGCTGTCTGAAACTACTCCAACCTGCTGTCTGAAACTACTCCAACCTGCTGTCTGAAACTACTCCAACCTGCTGTCTGAAACTACTCCAACCTGCTGTCTGAAACTACTCTAACCTGCTGTCTGAAACTACTCCAACCTGCTGTCTGAAACTGCTCTAACCTGCTGTCTGAAACTGCTCCAACCTGCTGTCTGAAACTACTCCAACCTGCTGTCTGAAACTACTCCAACCTGCTGTCTGAAACTGCTTCTTACCTGCTGTCTGAAACTGCTCCAACCTGCTGTCTGAAACTACTCCAACCTGCTGTCTGAAACTACTCCAACCTGCTGTCTGAAACTACTCCAACCTGCTGTCTGAAACTGCTCTAACCTGCTGTCTGAAACTACTCCAACCTGCTGTCTGAAACTACTCCAACCTGCTGTCTGAAACTACTCCAACCTGCTGTCTGAAACTGCTCTAACCTGCTGTCTGAAACTACTCCAACCTGCTGTCTGAAACTACTCCAACCTGCTGTCTGAAACTACTCTAACCTGCTGTCTGAAACTGCTCTAACCTGCTGTCTGAAACTACTCCAACCTGCTGTCTGAAACTGCTCTAACCTGCTGTCTGAACCTACTTGTCACACCCTGGCTCTGGGGACTCTATATGTTGAGCCAGGGTGTGTAGATTCTATGTGTTCTAGTTCTGTGTTATAGTTCTATGTGTTATATTTCTATGTTGGCCAGATTGGTTCCCAATCAGAGGCAACGAGTGTCAGCTGTTGCTGGTTGTCTCTGATTGGGAACCATATTTAAACAGTCTGTTTTTCCCTTAGTGTTTGTGGGATCTTGTTTCCGTTTGGTTTGTTCCTTGTTGGTTGTGTTAAACCGTAGGACTGCACGTTTCGTTTTGTTGTTTTGTTGTTCATATTATCACTGAAGATAATAAAGTTTAAGTATGTTTGCAACTAACGCTGCGCATTGGTCTACTCCGTCTAACGATCGTGACAGAAGATCCCACCATACCAGGACCAAGCAGCGTGTCCAGGAACAGGCAGCCTGGACGTGGGAGCAAATATTGGACGGGCAGGGGTCCTGGACCTGGGAGGAAATCCAGGCCGGGATGGACCGCCGTCCATGGAGTGAGACGGTAGAGGCGCGACGGAGAGAGGAGCAACGGCGTCAACAGTGTCGTCGTCGGACGGACGAGAGGCAACCCCAAAAAATTTCTAGGGGGGGGCATACGGCATGGGCGACGGGGCAGCAGGAGGCAGCTACAGGGCGTAGTAGGAGGTTAGGTGAGGAGGCCACCAGGTTAAGGGGGCTATTGGCGCAGAGGGAGCAGGAGTTAGTGGTGCAGAGGGTGGAGCTATTGGAGGCGATAAGGGAGAAGGTGAGAATTGAGGCACGGCGAGAGGAACTCGGTAGGCAGCTGAGGGAGCGGAGGGTTATGACGAAACCCAGTCCCGCTCCTCACACCAAGCAAGGGGTGTGCGTCACCAGTCCGGTCCGGCCCGTTCCTGCTCCCCGCACTAAGTGGATGGTGCGCGTCGCCAGCCCGGCCCGGCCTGTTCCTGCCCCTCGCACCAAGCCTACGGTGTGCGTCGCCAGCCCGGCCCGGCCTGTTCCTGCCCCTCGCACCAAGCCTATGGTGCGCGTCGCCAGCCCGGCCTGTTCCTGCTCCCCGCACCAAGCCTACGGTGTGCGTCGCCAGCCCAGCCCGGCCTGTTCCTGCCCCTCGCACCAAGCCTACGGTGCGCGTCGCCAGCCCAGCCCGGCCTGTTCCTGCTCCCCGCACCAAGCCTACGGTGTGCGTCGCCAGCCCGGCCCGGCCTGTTCCTGCCACTCGCACCAAAGCTACGGTGCGCGTCGCCAGCCCGGCCCGGCCTGTTCCTGCCACTCGCACCAAAGCTACGGTGCGCGTCACCAGCCCGGCCCGGCCTGTTCCTGCCACTCGCACCAAGCCAGGGGTGCGAGTCGTCAGCCCGGTCCAGCCTGTTCCTGCTCCACGCACCAAGCCAGGGGTGCGCATCGTCAGCCCGGTCCGGCCCGTTCCTGCTCCACGCACCAAGCCAGGGGTGCGCATCGTCAGCCCGGTCCGGCCCGTTGCTGCTCCACGCACCAAGCCAGGGGTGCGCATCGTCAGCCCGGTCCGGCCCGTTGCTGCTCCACGCACCAAGCCAGGGGTGCGCGTCGTCAGTCCGGTCCGGCCTGTTCCTGCTCCACGCACCAAGCCAGGGGTGTGCGTCGTCAGTCCGGCACAACCCGTGCCTGGGTCACCGGTGCCTGGTCAGGTACCGGTCAGCTGCTCCACACCGGAGCTGAAGCAATCCGCTCCTACGATGTCCAGTCCAGCTCCAGCCAGCGGGGCCAGACCGGACCAGGGGCGCTACGGGGGGATTATTGGAGGGTGGTGGTCAAGCCCGGAGCCGGAACCGCCTCCGAGGAGGAATGCCCACCCAGCCCTCCCCTGGTTTGTCTATGTTGAGGCGCGGTCGCAGTCCGCGCCTTTGGGGGGGGGTACTGTCACACCCTGGCTCTGGGGACTCTATATGTTGAGCCAGGGTGTGTAGATTCTATGTGTTCTAGTTCTGTGTTATAGTTCTATGTGTTATATTTCTATGTTGGCCAGATTGGTTCCCAATCAGAGGCAACGAGTGTCAGCTGTTGCTGGTTGTCTCTGATTGGGAACCATATTTAAACAGTCTGTTTTTCCCTTAGTGTTTGTGGGATCTTGTTTCCGTTTGGTTTGTTCCTTGTTGGCTGTGTTAAACCGTAGGACTGCACGTTTCGTTTTGTTGTTTTGTTGTTCATATTATCACTGAAGATAATAAAGTTTAAGTATGTTTGCAACTAACGCTGCGCATTGGTCTACTCCGTCTAACGATCGTGACACTACTCTAAACTGCTGTCTGAAACTACTCCAACCTGCTGTCTAAAACTACTCCAACCAGTTCCTGGTTTTGGTCCTGGTCTTGGTTCAGTTCCTGGTTTCGGTCCTGGTTCAGGTCCTGGACCTGGTTCAGTTCCTGGTTTTGGTCCTGCTCTGGCCCTGGTTTTGGTCCTGGTTCTGATCCTGGTTCAGTTGCTGGTTTTGGACCTGGTCTGGTCCTGGTCTGATCCTGGTTATGGGTCTGGTCCTGGTCT